ATTATTATTATTATTATTATTATTATTATTATTATTATTATTATTATGTATATTGTTTTATATATATTATAATACATATAATATATGTAATATATATTATAATATATAATAATAATAATTACGATATCTGTAACACCATCAAACATCCAGATCTGCCTATTCATGTTCAATGAATAAGAGCATAATAATAATTAATAAATAATAATAAATATGTGGACTGCATTCGTTAAATTAATTAATAATTATTTATGACTAAAAAGAATGATAAACACACACGCTATTCTCCATCTGTGTCCTTGCACTAATTTTCTCTGCCATCCCATTTGTGGGGAGGGGAGAGAGAGAGAGAGAGAGAGAGACGGAGACCCATCCTCCACTCCTCCCACCCCCGCCAGACCCTTGATCTTCGTTTCCTCTCTCTCACAGACATAGACGAGTGCCAGGAGCTGCCAGGCCTGTGCCAGGGTGGCAATTGCGTTAATACCTTTGGGAGCTTCCAGTGTGAGTGCCCCCCGGGCTATTACCTGAATGAGGACACCCGTATTTGCGAAGGTGGGTCTGTGGGGGGTGCGGGTGGGTGAGCTGTGGGGAAGGGGAGGGTCGACCCTTTGCCCACTCAAGGTGAGACACGGCAGAGGAAACATAAGGGGAGGGGAGGGTCTGTTTCTTTGTGGCTTCACATTTTTGGAGCCTCAATTAGGAAGTTCAAGGTATCGTGTGGGTCTAGAAGGCAGATTCCTTCTTGAGTGTCCACTGGGGATAATCAAAAAAGTCAAGATGGCATTCACTTAAGAGTAGAGTCTCCCAACCGTGATCCCTTTAAGACGGGTGGACTTTGACTCCCAGAATTCCCCAGGCAGCTATGCTGTGTTGAAGTCCACCCGTCTTAAAGCGGCTTAGTGTCTTTGGGAGACCTCAGCTTCTAAAATGATTGGCAGGGTATGTTAGCCCTGCGAGATAGGCCAGCCAGGATTACTAACTCTATCTTTATTGTAAGGTTATATTAACAGAATCTATTTCTTCTTCCGCCCCCCTTTACTATCTGGAAAACTAGGGAGGGTCTCTTTTGAGTCACTTCCTACACCATCCTTTACATCTGCACCCTCTTATAGTTTTTATGTCTCTATCTTTATTGTAAGGTTATATTAATAGAATCTATTTCTTCTTCCACCCCCCTTTACTATCTGGAAAACTAGGGAGGGTCTCTTTTGAGTCACTTCCTACACCCTCCTCTCCATTTGCACCTTCTTATAGTTTTTATGTCTCTATCTTTATTGTAAGGTTATATTAACAGAATCTATCTCTTCCTCCGCCCCCCTTTTACTCTCTGGAAAACTAGGGAGGGTCTCTTTTGACTCACTTCCTACACCCTCCTTTCCATCTGCACTTCTTATAGTTTTTATGTCTCTATCTTTATTGTAAGGTTATATTAACAGAATCTTTCTCTTCCTCCACCCCCCTTTACTATCTGGAAAACTAGGGAGGGTGTCTTTTGAGTCGCTTCCTACACCCTCCTTTCCATCTGCACCCTCTTATAGTTTTTATGTTTGGGGGGGTCTCCCTCCTGTCTCCTAAGGTCATTTCCCTCCAGCAGGGACCCCCTTCTGCAGATTTCACACCCTCGTCCTGGGACTGCTGACCAATTGACCTGTTTTTGTCCCTGTTCTCACAACCTTTGATATTTCCTTTCCAGACATCGATGAATGCTCTGCTCACATCGGCATCTGCGGGCCGGGGACCTGTTACAACACACTCGGCAACTACACCTGCGTGTGCCCCCCAGAGTACATGCAAGTCAACGGAGGGAACAACTGTATGGGTACGGACGGCCCTGCAGAGTGGGCTCAAAGGGAGGAGAGGGGCAAATGGGGTGAGGGAGCAATCAGCCTCAGTCTCCTACGATGGCTGGACGGCCTTCCAGGTAACTCAGCTGAAAAGCTAGGATGAGGGACCCATAGACTAACCTAGCTATCAAAAGATAGACTGCCCTTATCTCTGGAGGTCAAACAGAGAGGAGAGGAGAAATCTGTGGTTTGGGCTTTTTTTATTTTTCAAAACTGACTTTTTAAATAAGGTCTCAAAGGGATCAGAATCCATCTTCCAGCCTCCAGTGGTGGTCAGCCCAAGCAGCTTCAGGAAAACCCTAAGTTGGACATGAAGGCAATCACATCTCAGATGCTGATTTTCATGTCCCCATCCCATAATTCAAATCAGTTTAGATAGAGAAAAAGAGAGGGGGGTGGATGGATGAATAGGTAGGTAGGTAGGTAGGTAGAAAGAGAGAGAGAGAGAGAGAGAGAGTGATATAGATAAATGAGAGAGAGAGGAAAAGGTGGAAGGATGGATGGATGGATAGAGAGAGAAAGAGGGATAGATAATGACAGATAGGTAGGTAGGTAGGTAGGTAAGTAGATGATAGATAGATAGATAGATAGATAGATAGATAGATAGATAGATAGATGATGATAGACGGAAAGACAGACAGACAGATAAGTAGAAAATAAGGAGATCGGAAGATGAGAGAGAGAGAGATGATACTGTAGATAGATAGATAGATAGATAGATAGATAGATAGATAGATAGATAGATAGATAGATGATAGACAGACAGACAGACAGACACAGACAGACAGACAGATAAGTAGAAAATAGGGAGATAGATAGGAAGATGAGAGAGAGAGAGAGAGAGATGATACTGTAGATAGATAGATAGATAGATAGATAGATAGATATAGATAGATAGATAGATAGATAGATAGATAGATGATAGACAGACAGACAGACAGACACAGACAGACAGATAAGTAGAAAATAGGGAGATAGATAGGAAGATGAGAGAGAGAGATGATACTGTAGATAGATAGATAGATAGATAGATAGATAGATAGATAGATAGATAGATAGATAGATAGATAGATAGAAGATAGACAGACAGACAGACACAGACAGATAGATAAGTAGAAAATAGATAGATAGATAGATAGATAGATAGATAGATAGATAGATAGATAGATAGATAGATAGATGATAGACAGACAGACAGACAGACACAGACAGACAGATAAGTAGAAAATAGGGAGATAGATAGGAAGATGAGAGAGAGAGAGGATGATACTGTAGATAGATAGATAGATAGATAGATAGATAGATAGATGATAGATAGATAGATAGATATAGATGATAGACAGACAGACAGACACAGACAGATAGATAAGTAGAAAATAGGTAGATAAGTAGATGATAGGAAGATAGATAGGAAGATGAGAGCGAGAGAGATGAGAGAGAGGGAGAGAGAGAGGGAGATGAGAAATAGGCATCGATCTAGACATATAGAGAACATAGCGATAGAAATAGACAAAGATAAGCAGGTCTTAGTGGAGGCACTTCTTAAAATGTCTCAGCTCCTCCCAAACAGATCGGACTCTACCAAACGGAGACAGGTGGGGCAGGGGCCTTTGGGGCTGGGGGCTGGGCCTCTTGGCCCTCTGACGTTCCCCGGCTGCCTTCCTTTCAGACATGCGGAAGAGCCTTTGCTACCGGAACTACAACGACACCTGTGAGAACGAGCTCTCCTTCAACATGACCAAGAAGATGTGCTGCTGTTCCTATAACATCGGCAAAGCCTGGAACAGGCCCTGTGAGCCCTGCCCCACACCGGCCAGCTGTGAGTGGCCCCTCTGCAGCGTCGCCTCTCTGGTCGTTAAGCCAGGCATCGTGGTCGTTAAGTGAATCCACAGTCATTAAGCAAGCACGGCGTTCGTTAAGCGAACCCACTGTTCACGAGGAACAGCCCCAGCAGGAAATGCCATTTTTTTTTTTGGGCAAAAACATTGTAAACCACAGTCAAATGACTGTGGGACTCTGCAAATGGCCGCAAATTTTGGGCAAATGCCCAAAATGTGATCACATGACCAGGGGGATGGCTGTCAGACCTTTGGAACTGGGTTTTGGTCATCATAATTTCAACGGTCACCGGCTGTAAGTCGAGGATTACCTGTAGTTTTTCAACCAAAGTAGCTTGGATTTGACTTGTACTAAACCCGAGTTGTGGGGTCCTGGGTGGTCTCTGAGCTTGTTGATTTTCTTGCAGACATTTCATTACCCAACTAGGTACCATTATCAGTGCTAGAAAGGAGTGGGGTTTGCTCTGTTTCTATTCTAGTGGCTTGCCCTGTCATTATTGGTGAGAGTAGTCTTGCGTCAGAGGGGGGGGGGTTCTAAAATATTTTACTCCCAGTTCTGTGGGTGTGGCTTATTTTGTGGGCGTGGCTTGGGGGTAATGTGACTAGGTGGGGGTGGCCAACTTTTTTCTTTTCTTTTTTCTTTTTTTTTTACTTTTAAAAGCATTATTTCTACAACCTTGAGAGGTTGCAGAAAAAAATGCTTTTAGAAGCCTCTGACGATCAGGCAAGTCAGCTGGGATTGCCAGAGGCTTTTAAAGGGATTTTTTTCCCCTACAACCTCTTCGGCTGAAGAGGTTGCAGAAAAAATGTTTTCAGAAGCCTCTGAAGATCCCAGCTGAGCCGTGGGATCTTCAGAGGCTTTTTTTTTTTTTTTTAGTTTTAAAAGCATTTTTTCAGCTGAAGAGGTTGTAGAAAAAATGCTTTTAAAAGTAAAAAAAAAAAAGCCTCTGATGAGGTGGGCGGGGTAAGCGAGCGGCGACTGGGCCAGGGACCGGTTCAGGGGCGTGGCCAGCCAATGTTATTACCGGTTCTCCGAACTACTAAAATTCTTGCGAACTGGTGCGAACCGGGAACCAACCCACCACTGTCTTGGGTGTTCCTTGATTAGCCTGTTCACTGTTAGCTTGTTTAGCCGTTTCTTGATTAGCATACCGTTTGCTTCTGGATTGTCTGTCTAATGTTAAACCTGGTGTTAATCCCTACCAATCTGCGTGTTGATTGCTGGAAAGGAGGCGCTTTGGCCTTTTTGTTTCCTTCTGGGCCGTCTCTTTTGAAAGGTATGTAGATGTTGTTTATCTCTACGTGCCTGTTGATGGCCAATTTGATGGTGGCTGATGCCTGACAGCAAGGAAACAACCTAGCACAGAGAGCACCAAGAGCCCCAGAGTTCAATTCCGAGCTACGGATATTCTCTTTTATCTACACCTGAGTTGCTCAAAGTCTATGAAGATTCTCAGTCATCCAGGTCGTGGTTGTCCCAAGGGTGCTTTTTCAAGAGGCAACTGGACTATCTGTTTTTTCTTTGGAAGACGTTTCGCTTCTCATCCAAGAAGCTTCTTCAGCTCTGACTGAATGGTGGGAACGGAAGGATTTATACTCCTTGCAGACAGCTGGTCATTTGCATCCTTTTAGAGAGTCGTTGAGGCCACTTGAAGGTTTTATTTGTGTCCTCAGGGTCACCTGAGTAGTGCAAATGGGTATGGAGCCTTCTTGGAACTGCTGAAAAGAGTGTGTTGTAGACTGGAGATAGATGATGTCGTATCCCTTTACCTCTGTTGAGAGAGGGCTGTTCAGTTTTTGACATAGATGGCCTCTTTGACCCATCTTTCAAACCAGTGGTCCTCTCTGTCCAAAATGTGGACTTTGTTGTCTTCAAAAGAGTGCCCTTTGTCTTGTAAATTCAGCAGACAGACTGCTGAATCTAATCCTGATGGGTTTGTTCTCCTAGGTTGTGCCATGCATTTGTGAAGTGGCTGTTTTGTTTCCCCAGTGTACAGATCTGCATATGGCTCACTGCATTGTGCTGCATATACCACATCGCTCAGTTTCTGTCTGAGTGTTTTGTCCTTGGGGTGGACAAGCTTCTGCCTTAGTGTATTCTTGAATTTAAAGTGTGCGCATGTGTTGTGTTGACTGAAGATCCTCCTGAGCTTTTCAGATATCATTCTTGCCTAAGCTCTTGCAAGGAAATGCCTCTGGAGAAACACGAGTTTTTCTTTTCTAGCTGAATACCAGATCCTGTGCGGCAACCAGGCGCCCGGCTTCATCATCGACATTCACACAGGGAAACCAATTGGTGAGCGTCCCTCGAACTTTGTGTGACCCACAGCTAATACCTTTGCATCGAGGGGGATGTTTGTGTCAGTGCGTCAATCCAACCTAAATATTAAAACAATTATAAACTAAGAAGAGTTTATAAGAAAAACAAAACCTAGTGTGTACTTTTAATTTTTGATTTTCTTTTTAAGATGAATGATTGTTCTCTTTAAAAAAACACTATTAAAAAAAAAGTGAAAACAATCCTAAAAGCAATAGAAATAAGAACACAAGTCATAAAGTATTAAGATATTTAAAGTTAAATATAGTAGCTGGAACAGTGAAGGATTGTGCAGTGAGCCAGAACACACAGTAATGTTTTTGGGGAAAGGGTGGCTCCTGCGTGAGGCAACCTACGCTGTGATTGGTTGCTGTGGGTGTAAAGGGGGAGTTTCCCTGTTTTCCCGCCTTTTTCTTCTGTGTGCCCTGTGTGCTCTGGGATTTACCTCATGATGTTCCCGTTTGCCTGACTAACTAGTTTGCTCTATATATTGATATAAAATATATGTATTTATATCAAACTATAAGTTTGTTTCAGCATCTCTGACTTCATCTGGACAATTAATTCCCTGACAAGAAAGCAATAAAACAAAAAATAAATCAGCGGGAACATTTGAATTCTTTACAAAGTTCAGTTGATCCCACGGTTCCCACAGCTAAATGGGGGGTGGGGCGTCCTTTGCTCGTGCTCAGCCTTGTGTTACACACATCCCACCCCTTTGAAAAGAAGGCGGGGCTTCTGTCCAACTGGCCCCACCCTCTTCCACTCCCTCCCTCTTTCCATGCAGATATTGACGAGTGCAGTGAGATTCCAGCCATTTGCACCAATGGCGTCTGCATCAATCAGATCGGCAGTTTCCGCTGCGAATGCCCCATCGGCTTCAGTTACAACAACATCTTGCTGATCTGTGAAGGTCAGAGTCGGGGCTGCCATTTAAGGAGGGGGGGAGTGACCTCCAAAGGGAAATGTGATAAGTAGGATAAAAGTGGTGAATGAATTGGGCGAGTGGTGATACAGGAAGAAGAAATGAGCGGGGAGATACAGCTGCACCTGCCATGAATATCATTTAATTTCTTTGTAAATACAGGTAGTCCTCGCTTAGCGACAGCCATTGGGACCGAAATCTCCATTGTTAAGTGGTACAGTTGAAAAGAACAATGTCTTGTGATTGCTCCAACTGAACAACAGCAGTTGCATCACTTCTGGTTGCGGTCATTCAATGATTTCTGTAAGGGTGATTTGTGACTTCCCGCTGGCTTCCCCAATGACTTTGTTTGGGGAAAGCCGGCAGGGAAGCTCATTGCTGGTGATCACGTGGTGGAGGGACATTGTGATGGCTGCAACTATAGATAGTCCTTGACTTACAGCCACAGTTGAGCCCAGAATTTCTGTTGCTAAGTGAGACAGTTGTTAAGTGAGTTGTGCCTGATTTTACAACCTTTCTTGCGACTGTTGTTAAGTTAGTAACATGTTTGTTAAGTGAATCTGGCTTCCCCGTTGACTTTGCTTGTCCAAAGGTCACAAAAGGCGACCCCAGGACCCAGCAACCGTCATAAATATGAGTCAGTTGCCCAAGCGTCTGAATTTTGATCACGTGACCCTGAGGATGTTGCAGCAGTCGTAAGTGTGAAGAACATCCATAAGTCACTTTTTTCAGTGCTGTTGTAACTTCGAACGGTCACTAAATGAACTGTTGTAAGTCAAGGACTACCTATATTGTATGTCTCCTGATTTAGTGCTGTCATAACTTCAAACGGTCATAAAATGAATGGTTGCTAAACAAGGACTACCTATGGATTTAATAGATTCAGTTTTCAGGACAGGGGTGTCCATGGGTGGAGGGGGGGCTAAAACAGTCAAAGGGAAAGTATGGCTGCTCAATCAAAGCCCCCTCCCTCTTCTCCCGCCCCCCCCCATCCCCTTTGGTTTCTCCTCTAACATGGACAATAGGCAAAAGATAAGATGCGATGTCTTGTCGCTGGTGTGGTGTGGAGAAACCACAATGGCAAAGATGCGGTTTTCAATATAGAGGTAGCCCTCAACTTACGACCACAATGGAACCAGAAATTTATGTTGCTAAGTGGGAGAAATTTGTCAGATGCGTTTTGCCCCGTTTTACAATTTTTCCTGCCACATTTGTTAAGTGAATGTAGCTTCCCCATTGACTTTGCTTGGCAGACGGTTGCAAAAGGGGATCACGTGACACACACACACACCAGGACACTGCAACCATCATAAATGTGAGTCAGTTGTCAAGCATCCAAATTTTGATCATGTGACCATGGGGATGTTGCAATGGTTGTGTGAAAACCGGCCATAAGTTGTTATGGCCCGTACGCGGCCTGTGCAGCTAGTCGGACAGCGAGGAGGCTGGTGTGGTGCTGCGCCAGCAGCCTGTGCAGCTGGCACTCGAGTCGGACAGTGAGGAGGCTGGAGAAGATGTGGTGCCAGAGGCGGGGATTCAGCCAGGGCCTTCAGAACCTCCAGAAGCTCCCATAAGTGAAGAGGACGAAGAGGAGGAGCCTCTTCTCAATGCACGGGTGCGTAGAGCTGCCAAAAGGCAGGAGTGGCTCCTCAGGAGGAGGTCTCCTCAAGAGTAAGGCTTCGGGCTAATTGGCCACTCCCCTAGCCTGTTTAAGGAAGGATGACGACTGATGCAATTTGCAGGAAACAACTGCGTGCACATACCTTCGTGTCTTGTCTTGCTTATCTTATCTTGTCTTGCTTATCTTATCTTATCAGCTTCCTGCAAATTGCTTCTGGGCATTCTGCCAACCACAGTAAGCTTTCAGTTATTATTCTTTGAATTCTTGGCTGCTGTTAATGCAGTTAATTAACAGCCGTTGTTGTAAAAGACTGATTTATTTAGTAAACCAAGGTTTGAACGGACTTTGTGTGTGCTGCGTTCTTTGGGGTCCGTAGCTGGGGCAGAACATAAGTTCCTTTTTCCAGTGCCGTTGTAACTTCAAATGGTCCCTAAGTGAGCTGTCATATGTCGAGGACTACCTGTATATCAGAGCAACCGAGAGAAGGCGTGGGGAGACAGGTGTTCAGACCAAAATCGGGGAGGCATTTGTCCTTCTCTCTCTTGCTGAAATTTTTCTTTCTCTTTTTCCGTCTCCTGGCAGACATAGATGAATGCAGCGGAGGGGAAAATCTCTGCCAACGAAACGCCGATTGTTTAAATATCCCCGGCAGTTACCGGTGTGAATGCTCTTCAGGATACAAGTTGTCGCCGAGCGGAGCGTGTGTCGGTAAGACCGGTTCGAACCCCGATCTTAAGATGATGAAGGAGAAGCAAACGATTTTGATCATTTCAATACAAGTAATCCTCGACTTACAACCACAATGAGGACCAGAATTTTCATTGTGGTTGTTGAGTGAGTCGCACCCAATTTTTACGACCTTTATTGCCATGGTGGTTAAGGGAATCAGTGCTGCCGTGAATTGAATCACACGGTCATTGAATGAATCCAGCTTCCCCCAATGACTCTGCTTCTCGGAAGCCGGTTGCCAAGGGCCCAAATTTTGATCACGTGACCATCGAAATGCTGCGACTGTTATAAACACGAGGACTGGACAGAAGTTGCTTTTTGGGGGGCTGTTATAACTTCAGACAGTTACTAAGCAACTGGTTGTAAATTGGCAACTGTAGTTCTTCTGTATTTTTCAACCTTGGCCACTTGGAGATGTATGAACTTCACATCCTCAAGCATGGCTGGATGGGGAATTCTGGGAGTCAAAGTCCACACATCCTCAAGTAACCAAGGTTGGGAAAAATTGCTTCATTTGGAAGGAGAAAACGTGGGTCACACTTTCTAAGGGTCGTAGTGTTGTGGCCCGTCAGCGGCCTGTGCAGATTGTAGCCGATTCCAACAATGAGAAGACTGGTGTGGTGCTGCGCCAGCAGCCTGTGCAGCTGGCACTCGAGTCGGACAATGAGGAGGATGCAGAAGATGTGGTGCCAGAGGCGGGGATACAGCCAGGGCCTTCAGAACCTCCAGAAGCTCCTTTAAGTGAAGAGGACGAAGAGGAGGAGCCTTTTCTCAATGCACGGGCGCGCAGAGCTGCCAAATGGCAGGAGTGGCTCCTCAGGAGGAGGTCTCCTCAAGAGTAGGGCTTGGAGCTAATTTGCCACTCCCTTAGCCTATTTAAGGAGGAACGTCGACTGAAGCAATTTGCAGGGAACAACTTTAGTTCACTCTCCTTCGTGTCTGCAAAACTGCCTCTGGGCTTTCTGCCAACTCTAGTAAGACTGTGATTACTTTATCTTAGAATTCTGGTAGGCTGTTAAGACAGTTCATTAACAGCCTTTGAATGATAAAGACTAAGTTGTTTTGAATAAATAAGCTTTGTATAGAGTTTGTGTGTGCTGGGTTCTTTGGGGTCCGTAGCTGGGGCAGAACACGTAGCATCATCGCACTATGCTTTGGTCCAAGCCTAACCAGTCTCAGATTTGGGCTCGTCCTTCTTCCCGGCTTTTCTCTCTTCAAGCTAATTTCCTGTCTTTCGTTGTGTTTCAGGCCGCAATGAGTGCCAAGAGATCCCCAACGTTTGCAGCCATGGGGATTGTGTCGACACAGAAGGGAGTTACCTTTGCATCTGCTACAATGGGTTCAAAGCCACGGGGGACCTGACCATGTGCATGGGTCGGTATCGCAGGGGTTCAACGTCCTTACAGCACGCCAGCCCTGCGGAGGCGTCTCCCTTCTTCCTAAAACTTCCAGTTATAGGCCTGGTTTGCTAGTTCGCCAGTTGTTCACAAACCAGGAAGTTCCCACCCTGTTGTAGTGCATCCTGTGTGACCTTGAACCCATCACCATCTCACCCTACTTGGAGGGGTTGTCATTGGAGGAGTTTACCTGTAGGGAATTTTGTCCCAAAGGTGCTTTTTTTAAGAGGCAACTGGACTTTCTGTTTTTTCTTTGAAGACATTTCGCTTCTCATCTGAGAAGCTTCTTCAGCTCTGACTGAATGGTGGGGAATGGAAGGATTTATATATCTTGAAGACAGCTGGTCATCTGCATTCCTTTTAGAGAGTCGTTGAGGCCACTTGGAGGGATACGACATCATCTATCTTTCTACAGCCTACAACACAATCCTTTCAGCAGTTCCAAGAAGTAGTTTGCACTACTCAGGTGACCCTGAGGACATAAGATAAACCTCTAAGTGGCCTCAGGGACTCTCAGAAAGTGTGCAAATGACCAGCTGACACGATTCGCTAAAAGAATGCAAATGACCAGCTTTCTGCAAGGAATATAAATACAAGTATCCCTTGGGGAGCCTGTGTGGTGACAGGAAAACTTAAAACATAGAACCCCAGGGCTGGAAAGGACTTCAGAGGTCTTCTAGTCCATCCCCTTGCTCAAGGCAGGAGTCCTTATACCATCCCCATCCAATAGTTGTCCAGTCTATTTTCGAAAACCTCCAGCAATGGAGCACCCATAACATTATATGGTGGGTTTTTAAAATGGGGTGGTGTTGGCCTACTTCACAGGGCTGTTGTTGTAAAAGTTACACTGGAGCCATCTCCATGAAGTGTTACACAGATGTTATCCTGGTAACAACAACAACAACAACAATAATAATGTCATCCTCGTTCGCCCGGCAGACATCGACGAATGCGACCGCCAACCCTGCGGGAACGGCACCTGTAAGAACACAGTGGGGTCCTACAACTGCCTTTGCTTCCCGGGCTTCGAACTGACCCACAACAATGATTGCATGGGTAAGGGGGTGCGGTTGGGACAAGAGGAGGGGACGGCTGAGCCTCCGGGAACGGTCATACTGACCCCCCACATCTCATCCCACTCTCCCCACAGATATCGACGAGTGCTCCTCCCTGGCTGGGCAAGTCTGCCGCAACGGACAGTGTATCAACAACATGGGGTCCTTCCGGTGCCTGTGCCAGGAGGGCTACGACCACACACCGGACGGCAAGAATTGCATTGGTGGGTATCTCCCGCGGTCTTTAAGAGGTGTTGAAAGAACCAATGTGTCGTCCCCCTCTCTTCTCTTGTTTTATATAAACACAGCCCTCTGCCCTGGATTCGTATTTCTTCTTTCTAGAAGGGTAGAGTTGGAAGGGAACCCCCCCCAAGGGTCATCTAGTCCAACCCCCTGCGGTCTGCAGGCAAGCCAATTCAACAGGTACAACTGTTGAAAAAAAAACCTCCAAAGAGGCTCACCTACTCCACCTCTGTCTTCATGGCCCTTCTCAATCTGGTCCGGTTTGCCTACTACATCTTTTTCAAGAGGCCACACCCAGATCTAATCCAGTGACAGGTAGTCCTCGATTTACGACTATTCGTTGAGCGGCGACAACGCTGAAAAAAGGGGACTTACAACCAGTCGTACTTGAAAAAGCTCGCAGGGTCCTGGGGAATGGTTGCAAGTGACAATCTTCCCAGCCAACTTCTGACAAGCAACAGAGAAGCCGACAGGGAAACCAGCAAACAACAATGACATGATGTCTCGCTTAACGACCACACCAATTCACGATGGATTTTCTGGGTTCGATTGTGGTTATAAGTCGAGGACTATCTGCACTGTACTGAAGATAAGCCCAATCAAGTATTAATATTTCTTCCCATCGTTTGGAAAAATAACCATCTAGCATTGGACTAATCGCGTTGGCCTTCTTTGCAACAACTTCACAACTGAAGGCTTGCTTGGTTGACACACACACAAACATACAGAGTTCCAAATTTTCCTGTCAGCTGGATTGCTGGGCTGGAAAGAATTCCTGTTGTTGGGATCCGCTCTACGATAGGTAGTCCTCGACTCACAACCTTCATTAGTGACCATTCGAAGTTAACAACGGCACCGAACGCCACACTTACGACCCTTTTAGCATCCCCTCCGTGATCACATGATCAAAATAAGGATGCTTGGCTCACATTTATGATGGTGGCAGCCTCTCGGGGGTCATATGATCCCCTTTTACGACCTTCTGACGAGCAAAGTCCATCGGGTAGCCAGATTCACTTAACAACCGTGTTACTAACTTAACAAATGCAGTGATTCACTTAACAGCTGAGGCAAGGAAGGTCGTAAAACAGGGAAAAACTCACAGCACCACTGCTCAACTACGGGCAATTTTGGGCTCAATTGGGGTCGTAAGTCGAGGACTACCTGCGTAAAGCTGGACGGCTTGATTTCCAAAGGCTTAGCCAGTGTCTCCTACACCCATACAGTGTCGGAAACCCTCCCTGATCTCTAGGGCAGGGACAGCACTCCCAGCCATGGGGAAGGTGATGTGGGGTTTTTCTTCCATGCAGACATCAACGAGTGTGTCAGCCTACTGGGAAGCTGCTCCCCGGGAACGTGCCACAATTTGGAAGGCTCCTTCCGTTGCATTTGCCCTCCCGGCTACGAAGTGCAGAATGACAACTGTATCGGTAAGAAGCACAATGCACCCCAGACAAACGCACGCTTTTGATGGCTGGGTCCTGCTTGGTGTGGGGGGAGGATGTCTGTGGCCCACTCTGGCTTTGATCCCTCGGTAGCACATAAGGGAATAGGGTCCTCCCCTGGGGGAGGGGTCAAAAAAGTCAAGATGGCGGCCAAACCCACACTATCTAAGCCCTTTTTTATGTGCTCCTTGGAGGAGAGGATTTTCCTGTCCCTCCCAGCACTAAAACTGCCTATAGACCAAATTTGGGGTACTGGAGGTGGGTGGGGGCAGCCTTTAATCCATCTCGGTGGGTTGCAGATATCAACGAATGTGAGGAAGACCCCAACATCTGTCTGTTCGGTACCTGCACCAACACCCCTGGCACTTTTCAGTGCATCTGCCCACCTGGTTTTGTCCTGTCTGACAATGGTCGGCGCTGCTTTGGTGAGTGTGCCAACCACATATAGTTATAATATGTAATCCAGGCTGGGGATGGGTGTGTTTTGTCTCCACGTCTGTGCACGCATTGGACGACTGCTCTCTACATGGGGCTCCCCCTGGGGTGCACCCGGAGGCTCCAGCTGGTCCAGAACGCGGCCGCGCAGGGGATTATGGGGGCGACAAGGCGCTCCCATGTGACACCTCTCCTGCGCGAGCTGCACTGGCTCCCGGTGGTCTTCCAGGTGCGCTTCAAGGTGTTGGTGACCACCTTTAAAGCGCTCCATGGCTTAGGGCCGGGGTACCTACGAGACCGCCTTCTGCCACCAATAGCCTCCCACCGGCCAGTACGCTCGCACAGAGTGGGCCTCCTCAGGGTGCCGTCCACCAGACAATGTCGGCTGGTGACCCCCAGGGGGGAGAGCCTTCTCTGTGGCGGCGCCCACCCTCTGGAACAACCTCCCCCCAGAGATACGTACAATAACAGACCTCCAGATTTTTCGTCGGGCCCTGAAAACCTATTTATTTCAACTAGCTGGGCTGGCTTGAGTTAAAATTTTAAATTGCTTTTAAATTGGGTTGTTTTAATTTACGGCCAAAATATTTAATTATTTTAAACTGTTTTTAAATTTTGTATGTTCTGTTTTTTACTTTGGCTGTTCACCGCCCTGAGTCCTATTTGGAGAAGGGCAGTATAGAAATGGAAACAAATAAATAAATAAATAAATAAATCTCCCATCACCTCAGTCCAAAGCTTCCCCCTTTAGGGAGCAAGGATCTCAGACGATCAGCCGTCCTGCCCGCTGGAAAATTATCTCAGGAGTATTGCTTTATAGAGCACATGGCAGCGTTCCTTCGGTGCACTGGGAGCAGCGGGGGGAGGGGGGGCAGGGGAGTAGCGGATGGTTTCACACGTACAACCCAATCCTGCGCATGTGCAAATGGAGCATTGCACGCTCGCCTGCCACTTCCGTGGCCCGGTTCCCAACAGACTGTGCGTGGCCCGGTGCTGATCCATACACAGGGGGTTTTGAAACCAGAATCAGGACAGAGCTGGGAGGGACCTTGGAGGCCTTCTAGTCCAACCCCACTCCTCCTGCCTAAGCAGGAGACCCTTTCCCATTTCATACAAATGGCTGGATACCCTGCCCCGTTTAAACAGAGAGTCCCATAGCCCTGGCGTATGGCACAGAGCACCAGGAGTAAAATTATACAGAAGCCGCACATAATACTATGGTACACGCATGATAGGAAAATGTAGAGGAAAATGTGCTCTCAAAACATTTTTATTTCAGCAGGCTGGCCTGGCCTAACTCTCCCTTTTAAATTTTTAAATCGTTTAATTTGTTTATAGATTGGGTGTTTTAAATTTGTTTTGGCCAAAAAAATTAATAATTTTAATGGATTTTTAATGTTTGTATTATCTGTATTTTATCTTGGCTGTTCACCACCCTGAGTCCTTCGGGAGTAGGGCGGTATAGAAATTTGATAAATAAATAAATAAAATAGAGTTGCGGGTTTTTTGCAAGGTTTGAGGAATTCAGGAAATTATATTTATTATTTATTTATTTTATTTATTTTATGCAATTTCTATGCCGCCCTATCTCCGAGGACTTAGGGCAGCTCACAACAGTAAAATGCATAATTCCTATTAAAATGATATAGAGTCAAAACCCAGTTTAAAACAGTTTAAAATTCATTAAAAACTCCCCCTTCAGTCCAGGCTACGGAACAACCAGGTCTTCAACTCGCGGTGGAACGAGCGAAGGTCAGGGGCCATCCGGAGTTATATGCAAGTTATAGGTTACGTGTTAACATACCTTGATTCATAAGAATAGAATAAGCACCCTCTATATTAATATCGAAGCCATTTATCCAACTAAGCAGACAGTATTCGTTACTTGGACAAAATCTGCTTTTCCTACTGTGTAGGATCTCAAATGGCAGCTGGTCACAGTGTCCGGCGAAGAGCACTGCATCACATTCAGGGGTGGATAACAGAAACAACAGAGTTGGAAGGGACCTTGGAGGTCTTCTAGTCCAACCCCAAGTGGCCAAATGTTCTACCCCGTGGGTCCCCAACTTGTGGGACACAGCCCACTATCGGGCCACGGTGTGTTCGCAAACGGGCTACGTGAGGGCCTAGTCACACGAGCATCTTGGGCGCTCGGAGCCCCACTCGTGCGAGTAATGAGTGCTTGTGTGTGCACACACGCACACACACGCATTTGCCTACCACTCCCACAAAATCATCCCCGGAAAATTTGGAGAACTCTGTTCTACCCCATTTAAACAGGGAGTCTTGGCACATCAAGTGTGTCCTGTGTGTTGTCGATAGACTTCTTCTCACAGTGGAGTCTCCGCTGGTGACGCCTGTTAAGGATATTGTTGTGTTACCAACCAGCAGAGTAAGTGCACAGAGAAACGGTACTGAAAGCAATGAATACAATACATACAAACTGGTTTAACAAAGCTTTATCTTTGTAGTGAAAAACAATTGCATAGTCTTACCATACAAACAGCAGTAGGTAATAAACAGCAATTCAACGCTGGTAACAAATCACGATGGTAGAAGATCCATCCACTTCTTCACACACGACAGTAACAGTTCCAACCGACAAGTCAAGCAATAAGTCAAGCAACAATGACTATAGCTCTCCTCTCCTCTTATATACAGTTTACACTAGCAATTATCCACTTAAGATAAGTGAAGTCAGCAGTGCAATGACTCAACAGTACAATTAGGATAATTGCAGTCAGCAGTCAGTCAGCAGTCAGTTACAATGACTCATCAGTACAATTACTCGGCATTACATCTTAAAGTTACAGAATACATTTAAAGTGATAGAACACATATATTGCCTGGACAACTTGTTAGGCTTACACCATATCCTAACAATGCCATTGCTATGGGAGGCCCAGAGGTGAAGGAGGCAGGGACCCTCTCTCCCCTCCTACCCCAGGCAGATGCCTGCAGGTCTTCCCTGTTTCCTGACCTCATGTATTCCCCCTCCCCAATCTTTGCAGACACCCGCCAGAGTTTCTGCTTTACCCGCTTCGACAACGGCAAGTGCTCGGTGCCCAAAGCTTTCAACACCACCAAGGCTCGATGCTGTTGCAGCAAGATGCCAGGCGAAGGCTGGGGAGACCCCTGCGAGCTGTGCCCCCAGGAGGGCAATGGTAGGAGACGGACAGCAGGGAGGGCAGAGGGAGGGAGGGAAGGAGGCCTGGGAGTCCATCATCATCATCATCCCCCCTTCGCCGGTCTCTTTGATGGTTTCTCCCTGATGATCCTAGGGAGACCCCTGCCTCTCCTCCCCTCCATCAGCAGGGAAGAGGCTGTCCCTTGCACCCAAGGGAGTTAGGGGTCTTCCCCCCAAATGGGAGCAATACAACCATTTCTTCAACTTTGGACATGGGTCTGGAGGAGGGGAGTGTGATGACCCGGGACACTTTATTGCTCCAAATTTCCCCAAAAACTCCCATGTTTCTGGCACGCCCCAGAGCAAAGTGATGACACACACACACACACACACCTCCAGCAGCCTCTGGCTGCAAGTAGTCCAGCCCAATGTTGTGAGCACAATGGCTGCAAACCAAGAAATCAAGCAGAGTAAATCAATGAGTCCAGGAAACAAAGGAACGAGGCAATTAATCCAGGAAGCCAGGAAGAAAGCAGGAAATCCAGGAAAATTCAAATGTCGGCAACAACATTCAACACTCCATGAATTCAGGGTTTGTTCCAGACAAATGCCCCTCCCCACAGCATCTCCTTAAGGTCTCAGTCCCCAGGTGTGCCTTGTGGAGAGGGGAGGGCGCTCTCCTCCTGAGTAGTCGAGTCAGCCTGCGCTGTTCTCGCCTTCTCTCCACTCTCCGTGCTCGAGGATCAGGAGGGGGTGGTCCTTGCTCATCACCTGAGCTCGGTCTCTCATGATCACTGCTTAGCGTCTCTTGGTCATCCTGACCCCCTTCCTCCCTGCTTACAAGCTGTCCCAATCCTGAAAGGCCCTGGCCTGACTGGGCCTGCCCCTCCCCATTTTCCTCGAAACCAATGAAGCCGCCACCTCCATCGGCTCCAGTTCTGGCTTGACTTCCTCCGCAGTTTCAGGCTCCGACAGGGGCATGACAGGGAGGGTGTTGGAGATTTTTTAAAAAGCTGAAATAGTTGTATTGTTCTTTCTTTTCTTCTTTTTTTTTTGTTCTTTTTATATCGGTTTCCATCGCTTCTAAGGACCCAGAGTCCTCACAACAAGATGGGCATTAAAAGTAGTCCGCAACTTACGACCACAGTTGAGAACCCGAAATTTCCATCGCTAAGTGAGACCGTTGTGAAGTGGCTTTCACCCCATTCTTGCTTGATAAGGGAATCACGGCAACGGTTAAGTTACTCACACGGTTGTTAAGGGAATCCGACTTCCCCATTGCTTATAAAAAGGTCGCAAAAGGGGATCATGTGACCCCGGGTCACTGCTTCCGTCGTAAATAGGGGTCCGTTGCCAAGGGTCTAAAATTTTGATTGGGGATGCTGCAACGGTCGTAAGTGTGAAAACGGCCGTAAATCAGGTTTTTTTCAGTGCTGCTGTAACTTTGAACAGTCACTAAACGAATGGTACCTGCATTGTTCTTTTTTTGTTATTGTTCTTTTTATATTTGTTTTAATTGTTTTTTAAGCCATCCAGAGTCCTGAGTGTTAGGAAATTACTATTACCTAACTTGTTGGGATGGCAATATATAAATCATCAATGTAGCTTTAAGACTGCTGTATTGCATCATACTGTGTCCTGATTGGTTAGCTCTGTAGCCAATGTCCTTAAGAGGGAGCTAGAAACATGGCTTGTTCTCTTTGCTGATCTTGCTCTCTGATATCTCTGTATGCTACTGTTTGCAAATCCAGAAGAACTGTTTATTGTGAACGACTACAACAACTGGTAAGAAGACTTTGTTATTGGATTATCCCTGGACTGTCATTTTGGCTATCTCCTGCTTTATATGTGTATGACCTGGACTGTTTAGTGGACTGTGCCTTACTATTTCCTGAAAGTAAACACAACTCAGTGTATCTGTGTTTATTCGTAACTACTCTCAATCGCTTTCATGTGCACACCCTTGCTACTGAAGGGTTACTCTGCGAATTCCTTAACACTGAGTTGCTTTGAAAAATAAATACAGCTAATCCTTGACTTGCGACCGTTCGTTTACCAACAGTTCGAACTTACAACGGCACTGAAAAAAGTGACTTATGACCGCTCTTTGCACTCAACCACTATCATACCAGAGTCAGGTGATCAAAATCCTATTACTTGGCAACTGGCATGTACTTATAACGACTGCAGCCTCCTGGGGTCATGCAATCGCCATTTGTGACACACACACACACACACACACACACACTCAGAGAGACAGCCGGCTTTTGACAAACAAAGTCACTGGGGGAAGCTGGATTCACTTAATGACCATTGATTCACTTAACAACTGTAGCAACAACAAAAAAAAAAGACTGTAAAATCGGGTACAACTCTCTTAGCGTTTGCCTCCCTTATCAACACATTCTGATCCAATTGTGGCCGTAAATTAAGGACCCGCTGTAGAATAAACACTTGTTAGAGGAATGACAGCAGGTCTTGCCTCTCCCATCCGCAGTTGCCTTCCAAGAATTGTGTCCATACGGCCACGGCGCCATTCCGGGGCTCGGAGATTCCCGAGAAGGTAAGCACTCAAAGCCAAGAGTGAGTTTTATCTTTACCTCTGTACCTCCTTGGGAGCTTTCGCCAGGATTAAGCAGCCTGGCTTTCATCCAGATGTGAAGATAGACTGCTCAGAACAATGGAGGCTTTTCCTCCATTTGGGGGATGGGATGGGATGAGGAAGAAAGAATCAGCCATTCCTAGGTGGAATGGGACAACTGACCGCAGGACAATTCGATTTAATTATTTAAAATAATTTAAAATTTTATTTTATTTTTATTTAAAATCAAATGAATGCTTTAATTTTTCACTCTGTCCCAACTTTCTCATCCTTTCTTTAATGATTCTATTCCACTATTTCTTCGATATTAGTGTAACTCTTGTCCCATGGCAGGTTGGCCGCTGTGAGTTGTCCTAGACCAGTTATAGTTAACCTTTTTGCCATCACGTGCCAGGAGCGAGGGGGGGAGGTCGCGTGCATGCATGCCCACACCCATAATTCTATGTGCCCTGCCCCCACTTATGCACATTCAAACCCCCCACACCGTGACACACCCCCACCCCCACCGCTCATGGCATGTGATGGTATGGTGGGCCTGGTATGCCCATTTTTCTTTTCCCCAGGCTCCAGAGCCTTTCTAGGAGCTTGGGGAGGGTGAAAACGAGCTTAGGGAGGGCAAAAATCACCCCCCATGGAGGCCGTCTGGAGGCTGAAAATGGCCCATTTGCCAATTTCTGGTGGGACCGGAAAACCCATTTTTTGCTCTCCCCAGCCTCCAGAGCCTTTCTAGGAACCTGGGGAGGGCAAAAACAACCTTCCCAACACGCAAATTTCATCAAACATCAGAAAATGTGCAAGTCGCAAAGGTGAGCCCAACTCCCCTTGTTTATGCTGGGGAAGCATGCATAAAACATTGTTCTTGATAAAATACACAATCCCAAAAGTTTTGGAGGCCACTGTCTGAGAGGACAGAAATTGCTTTGCTTCGCTCGCACGTGTGCCAAACTTGCGCTCCGCACAAGCGTGTTATCTGCCCAGCTGAGGTGTGGCAATCCAATCTGCCGCACCTATCAGCTGGGCTGAAAAAGAAGAAATAAAGGTAGGAATAATGCGGGGGTGGGCGGGAGGGCCCAGCTCTCAGACAAAAAGAACCGGTTCAGTGACGTCACATTGTCACCGCTACCGGCTCGGCCGAACCGGGAGGACCCCACCACTGGATTGGACACACAAGGAATTTGTCTTCGGTGCATATGCTCTCAGTGTACATAAAAGAAAAGATACGTTCATCAAAAATCATAAGGTACAACACTTAATGATAGTCATAGGGTACAAATAAGCAATCAGGAAACAATATCAATATAAATTGTAAGGATACCAGCAACAAAGTTACAGTCATGCAGTTGTAGGAGGCTTGGCTGTTGTTGGTGTGTCTGAGATGGGGATTGTGGAAATAGGTGGCTGTAGTTTCCTTTCAAACCTGCAGTAAAATACTTTCAGGTCATCTACCAGTTGTCGATTTCCTTCAGCCTGGGAAGGTTTGCCATAGCCGGTGATATTTTTAAGAGTTTCCCACATGTTTGCTGGTTCATTTGTTGAGAACTGATTCTTTAGCTTTTCAGAGTAGCTTCTTTTTGCTGCTCTGATCTCCCTTGTTAATACATTTCTGGCCTGATTGTACAGCATTTTATCACCTTTTCTGTAAGCTTCCTCTTTGGAATGACGTAGCTGCTTAAGTTTAGTTGTGAACCAAGGTTTGTTGTTACAAGTTCCTGGTGGGTACACATAGGTCTTCACAGAAGCTGACATATGATGTTACAGTCTCTGTGAGTTCATCTAAATCTGTAGAGGTACTTTCAAAAACACTCCAATCAGTGCAGTCAAGGCAGGCCTGTAGCTTTAACTTTGCCTCCTCGGTCCAAGTCTTCACTGATTTAATTGTTGGTTTTGTGATTTTAAGTCTTTGCCTGTAAGCAGGTACAAGGTGAATCATGCAATGATCAGAGTGTCCCACAGCTGCTCATAGTAAGGATCGATAAGCATCTTTTAGTGTTGTGTAGCAATGATCTAAAGTATTCTTGCCTCTAGTGGGACAATTGACATGCTGAAAGTATTTTGGTAGCTCTTTCCTTAAGTTTGCCTTGTTTAGATCTCCCAAAATAATGGCCAGTGAATCAGGGTATTTGGTTCAGCCTCCATAGTTTGGTCAGCTAGAGTTCGTAATGCCTTGTTTACACAGGCTTGTGATGGGACATAAACAGCAATTAGAAGAAATGAAGAAAATTCACGAGGTGAATAGTATAGTTTGCAGTTGATAATTAATGTCTCTAGGTTTTCATCACAGAATTTATGTATTAGTTATATCCTGAGACCAGCTGTTGTTGATATATAAGCATAAGCCTCCTCCCTCCTTTTTACCAGATGTTTCTGCAATTCTGTCTGATCATTGAATCTGAAACCCTGGGATATGCAGGCTGCTATCTTCAATTGATTCATTTAACCAGGTTTCAGAGAAGCATAGGGCTGCTGAATTGTAAAAGTCAGAATTGTATCTGTTTAAAAGGAGTATTTCATCCATCTTGTTAGTAAGTGAATGTATGTTGGTTAGGAAAATTGAAGGCAGAGGAGTTTTATTTCTCCTAGTCCTTAACCTGCTTAAAATTCCCGCCCTTTTACCTCTCTTTCTTCGCTTCCTCCGTTTAATTTTTTTTGGTAATCCATGACTCCAGGGAAATTGCTTCTTCCTGTGTTAGAATCTCCTCTGCATTTGTAAAGACAGGGGTGGGAGAAAGATCACAGAAAGCTGCTCCTTAAAGAAATGTTGCTTAATTTTTAGCAGATGGTCTCATGAGTAAGAAATCCATAGTGAGTCGCAGAGAATATTAAAAATAAGGAAACCATTAGAGAGCATTTCACCGAGGCAGCCTTCGGAGGCGCCATCTTGGATCAAACAGCAAGCTCTGACTTTTCCAGCTTTGTGGATCAGCAGGGTGGGGGATGGGGGGAGAGGGGATGGTTCTGCATGAGCGGCAGGCGAGCGCCTGCTGTTTGCACAAATGGAGCTGCATGTACATGCTCGCTCATCCGCCCTCTGCGTGTGCAAGTACAACTGTGTGTGTGTGCACACTCGTCTGCCACTTCGGTGGCCCAGTTCTGAACGGGCTGCAGTCCAGTAGTGGGTTGCGGCCCAGGGGTTGGGGACCCCTGCAGTAGAATAAGGTAATAACAAAAAACTTATTTTTTTATTTTTATGTAATAATATATATTAGCCACTTCTATAACACCAAAGCTTTTTAAAAAAATCTTTTCATGACCCCATAATCCCTTGTGGGGTGGAGTCTGGGCAATTGAATGGAGCTGAGTTATTACTGGCCGGATGCTCTTCCTGTCGCCAATGCAAAGGGTTTTTTTAGCAAATATATCCTCATTGTGCCCAGAGAGAGAAATATCTGCCTCTACCTAGGATCGAACTCACAACCTCCTGATTGCGAGGCAAGAACTCCACCTCTAGGCCACCGCACCTATAACAACAAACCTATCTAAGCCGCAAAACCCCAAATCAAAGTTTCTTCCCCCCCCCCCCACTTCGAGCACTTTATTGTAGCAAAGGAAAAGGAATTGGAAATCAATTCTTTTTCTTTTCCTTTCCCCTTTCCCCTACACTTTCTCCTCTTCCCATCTTCCTCCCCTGTTTTCCCATTGCATGTATTTTCATTTTTCTTATTATTTTTATATTTTCTATTTTGATAAACTAATAAAAATACTCAAATCAAAGTACCCTACCACATTTGGGGGGGAGGGCTTGTGCCTTTCGAGAAAGTGAAAACAGCCCACAATGGTTAGTACAAAGGCGCATAGCCCATGGTGTTGCTCATTCCACACGGTCTCCTCGGCAGACGTGAACGAGTGCGCGGAGAATCTGGGTATCTGTATTAACGGCGCCTGCATCAACACGGACGGGTCCTTCCGCTGCGAATGCCCCTTCGGCTACAACCTGGACTACACCGGGGTCAACTGCGTGGGTGAGTGGGGGGCCGCCACACCTGCCATCTCGGGAGGGGGGGCTGTTCAATCCTTACTTGAAGCTTTTCCTTCAAGTAGACGAATTTACTCCCTTCCTTTCTCATATCCTTGGCAGACACGGACGAATGCTCCATCGGCAACCCATGCGGGAATGGTACCTGCACCAACGTGATCGGGGGCTTTGAATGCGCCTGCGATGAAGGATTTGAGCCGGGGCCAATGATGACCTGCGAAGGTAATGTCTACTTTATTTTCCTTTCGATCGATTGGATTTCTGCAGCTGCCCTTCTCACCTTTGGGAAGATCGCAAGGGTAGAAAACGTATCAGCAGCCACCTGGATGGATGGGAGAGGGAAAGCGAAAGTAACTGCTGTATCTCCCTGAGACACTGCCTCAAGATCAACCGGTTGGGAGAAGAAAGCATGTGCATACTAATTAATGCTTGAAGTGGCCATTCTGAAAACATCTTGCGTGGACATGATTGGTCATGGGGGTGGAGAATCAGCAATGGGAGGCAGTTAAAGGAAGGAAAACATTTTGTGTGCGATTCTCAGTTCTGGCTCTACACTTGGTCTCTAATAAAATTATACCTTTCTCAACAAATAGAGCCAAGGATCGTTTCTATTTAGAGGTTTAAATGATGGCAGGTCAGACACAACAACCGAGCAAAAATCCATCATAGAATCACAAGGATGGAAGGGACCCTGGGAGGCTTCTAGTCCAACCCCACAGCTCAAGGCTGGAGACCTTATTCCATCCCAGACAAATAGCTCCATCCAGTCTTGGGGGCTTCTAACGATGGGGTCACATCTTCACCTCCAACCTAAAAGCCAGCAGGTCAAAGCTGTTAAAAGATTGAAGACCATCCATCTGTGCCATAGACAGAGACCATCCTTCTGACCATAGACAGCACCACATGCCTCCTGAAGAAGCCCACATCATTTGTTGTCCACAGATAGACTTCCTCTACTCTGGGAGGATCTACTGTATTAAGATTGTATGTATTTGAACGATAACTAAAAAATTGTGTATGGGAGGGAGGGAGAAAGAGAGAGAGAGAGAGATATATATACCAGTGATGGATGGATGGATGGATGGATGGATGGAGAGAGAGAGAGAGAGAAAGAAAGAGATATGATCGAGAGAGATGGAGAGAGAGAGATGATAGATAGACAGATAGATGATAGACAAATAGATTTCTATTCTATTCTATTTTATTCTATTCTATTCTGTTCTTCTATTCTTCCTCAGTGGAACAATTTGCCTCCAGAAGTTGTGAATGCTCCAACACTGGAGGTTTTAAAGAAGAGACTGGACAACCATTTGTCTGAAATGGTATAGGGTTTCCTGCCTCAGCAGGGGGTTGGACTAGAAGACCTCCGAGGTCCCTTCCAACTGTGTCATCCTCTTCTATTCAACTAGCTGTATGTGTTTCTCTGTTGGCAGCATTTTTGTGCCTTCTGTTTCCCAGAGATTCTTGGCAGCTAAGGCAAAGTTTTGTCGAAATTGGAAAACGAAGCTGGCATAAAACATTAAGACGAGTTAAGAGACTTGAGTTAAGGGAAACGTCAGTCAGTAGATTTGGATTTATTCCTCTTCCCTGGAGGTTTTCAATCAGAGGCTGGTTCATCCTCTAATCAGGCGAATCCTCAGGGTGCACGGGGTTAGACTTGATGAGCTTTTGAGGTCCCTTCCAATTCTCTGATGCTGTGAGACCTGCTAAAGAAGCCCAGTGTCCAGCAAGCGACTCCCAATCTGAATCAGTCGCTGAAACCAGAGGTTTAGTTTTCCGAGCTTTTGGATTCGTGCTGGAGTCCGTCCTCAGGGAACTTCTCTCTAGCACGATGTATGCTTGGGGCTACTCTATTCGTAGTATTTATGTGGAGCCTGCTTGTGTGTGTGGCTTTTTAGGTGTTGAGTCAGGGGTGAAATGCTCCCAGTTCGGAACGGATCGCCTGATCCAGTAGCGATGGAGGCGGGTGGTTCGGGGAATCGGTAGCAAAAATCCCTGCCCTTCCCCCCCATGCCCAGCTGAGCCGTGCAATCATCAGAGGCTTTTTGTTTTTTTACTTTTAAAAGCATTTTTTCTACAACCTCTTCGGCCAAAAAATGCTTTTAAAAGTAAGGGGAAAAAAGCCTCTGATGATCGTGCGGCTCAGCTGGGATCCTCAAAGGCTTTTAAAAGAAAAAAAACCCCTTTTTTTAAAAAAAGCCTCTGCCAATCAGGCAATTCAGCTGGGATCGTCAGTCTTTTGAAAGCATTTTTTTACAACCTCTTCGCCAAAGAGGTTATAGAAAAAATGGTTTTAAAAGTAAAAAAAAAATGGCCACGCCCACCCAGTCACATTAACCCCCCTCCAAGCCACGCCCACAGAACCAGGAGTAACAAATTTTAGATTTCACCACTGTGTTGAGTGGGGTGTGGGCAGTGGTGAAATCCTCTGCAGTTTGCCACCAGTTCGCTGCATGTGCAATGCACATCAAATGCACACTGCGCACGGAAAAAGGAGGCTTAAGAAGGTAAGTAGAACAGCAGAGGGGGAACAGCTGTGCTGCGCGATTTAGATTTAGGAAATCCTGCTTTCTAGCGAATATAAATCGTGCAGCACAGCTGATTGTTGGAAATACCGGTTCGGACCAACCAGTAACTTTTTTAACTACCAGTTTCCCCAAACCAGTAGCTTTTTTTTACTACCGATTTGCTCGAACCGGTAGCTTTTATTACTACCGGTTCGCCCGAACCAGCGCGAACTAGTAGCATTTCACCACTGGGTGTGGGTAACCAGCTATGAAGTCATTGGCTGTTGTTTCCTTGTGCTGCCAAGCCCTCGCCTCCTAAGTACTTGATAAGCTGGTGGTAAATCAGCTCTCCTGTGGACTGACGAGGGGCCCGTTTCCCAGTCTTCAATCTCTTCTCTGGCTGTTTTTGTCCCTGCTCGACTGACAATCTTAGTAGTTGCAAAATTGAACATGTGTCTTTGTTCATTGTGACGCTCCTCGACCGCTAATCGCTGAAACCTATTAACGGTCTCCCCTTCCCCACCTGTCCAATCTCCAGATATCAACGAGTGCGCCTTGAACCCGCTGCTCTGTGCTTTCCGATGCCTCAACACGCTCGGTTCCTACGACTGCACCTGCCCAGCCGGGTACACCTTGCGGGACGACCGCAGAATGTGCAAAGGTGGGGACCCTCCATTGAGACAAGCTGACCCTCGTGGGTGCCGGTCAAGGAAATGGGTTCAGCTTTCAAAAAGGGAGTGGACGAAGGCTCTGCCCGTGGGAAGGATGCCCCCCCCAATAAGATTAGGGTTGCATTACAGGAGATTTAAAAGCTTCCCACCCCTGAGCTCCAGTCACCCTTCAAGAATGATGTATGTTTCCTCATGGCTCCAAAGACTCTAGAAAGAGTGCCGAGAAGAGCAAACAAGATGATTAGGGGACTGGAAGGTAAAACATACGATGAACGGTTGCAGGAACTGAGCATGGCTAGTCTAGCGAAGAGAAGGACCAGGGGAGACACGAGAGCAGTCTTCCAATATTTGAGGGGCTGCCACAGAGAGGAGGGAGTCAAGCTGTTTTCCAAAGCACCTGAAGGCCAGACAAGGAATAATGGATGGAAACTGATCAAGGAGAGATTCAACCTAGAAATAAGGAGAAATTTTGTGACAGTGAGAACAATCAACCCATGGAACAGAAGTTGCCTTCGGAAGTTGTGGGAGCTTCATCCCTGGAAGGTTTCAAGAAGAGACCGGACTCCCATCTGTCAGAAATGGTGTAGGGTCTCCTGCTTGGACGGGGGGTTGGACCAGATGACCTACAACAGTGATGGCGAACCTATGGCACGCGTGCCACTGGTGGCACATGGAGCCATATCGGTAGGCACTCGAGCTCAGCTCCGGCGCACATGCGCGTGCCAGCCAGCTGATTTTCAGGCCTTCTGGGCCCACCGGAATTTGGGAAACAGGCTATTTCCAGCCTCTGGAGGGCCTCTGGGGGGGTGGGGAAGGCCTATTTTTCACTCTCTCCAGGCTCAAAGAAAGGCTCTGGAGCCTGGGGAGAGCGAAAAACGGGGCTTCCGGTCCCACAGGAAGTTGGCAAATGGGCCGTTTCCAGCCTCCAGAGGGCCTCGGGGGGAGTGGGAAAGGCTCTTTTTGCCCTCCCCAGGCTCCTAGAAAGCCTCTGGAGCCTGAGGAGGGTGAAAAACAGGCCTACTGGGCCCACTGTGCCATTGTGTGCCAAAAGCAGGAGGGCGCAGGGGGGTTACGCGTAAATGTGCGGAAGGTGGGGGGCATAGAATTATGGGTATGGGCACGCGCACGTGTGACCTTCCCCCGCTTTTGACACGCGATGGCAAAAAGGTTAGCCATCACTGACCTGCAAGGTCCCTTCCAACCCTGTTAATCTGTAAAAAAAATAAAAATAAAAAGGGGATGCACAGAAAGTCTGCAGAGATCCGTGGCCTGTCCGGCTTCACATTCCTTTTCTTCTTTCTTTATTTCTGCAGATTTGGACGAGTGCGCCCACGGCATGCACGATTGCGAGTCGCACGGGATGATGTGCAAGAATCTGATCGGCACCTTTGCTTGCATCTGCCCACCTGGGATGCAACGTCGGCCGGACGGTGAAGGCTGCACAGGTGAGACACGTTTTAAAACCTTAAGTTCCTAGTCCACAGGGCTTGGTCAAAGACAGGCAAGCGAGCCCAGCTGAATCAAGTCCAGGCCGGGTGAATTTTTCCACTTGGCTCTGCCCTGGTCAGCCCCCACTTTGGGGGATCCAGTTCTGGGTGCTACAGCCGCTTCCCGAGGCCGGAGGATCATTTGTCTGAAACATTGCAAGGAGGAGGAGGAGGTTGGACTACTATTTTTTATTTATTTATTTATTTTATTATTTTTAATTTGATTTATATGCCGCCCTTCTCCGGAGACTCAGGGCGGCTTACAATGCATCACCTTATTAGGGGATCTCTAAGGCCCCTCTCGCCGTTTAACGATTCCACTTTAAATTGGTCCATTTGGGGCCTAAGCAGCCTCTGTAGAAAAGAGACGTTTTGGCGTTTTAGTCATTTCGGTAAAGCGAAAGAAATGCTTTTCGCATCAGTGGCAGCATAGCTTTGGCTTCCAATATTTGAGGGGCTGCCCCCAAAGAAGAAGAGGAGGGGGGGTCAACTTATTTTCAACAAGAAGCAACGGCTGGAAATGAATCGAGGAGAGAAACAACCTCATTTTCTGACCCAGCTCCCCAAACACGGCCAATCCTCTGAAGTTAACTCCCCAGAGCTAGGATGGGGCTTCGCTCTCAGCGGTGGCTCTTCCGTCCCGAGGATCGGCCCATAGATTTTCACTGCTCTCCTCTCCTCTGCCTTCTTTGCATCTGTGCGTCAGGCACTGGACCCAGCTGTTCCTCCTCTACCTCATCCACCACCTCCAGACCTGGGGGCTGTTGACTCTCCATCTGAGGGCTGATGGACGGCCCAGGCTCCCCCACCCCTCTTTCTGCCAGCTCCATTCCCTCTTCCCCCTCGGAGCTCCCAGGTTGCCCTGATACTGACTCCCACACCTCCTCCTCATCCTCCTCTGATTCGGCTGCTGGAGGGGCCGGCGGCCAACTGTCCACAACACTTAGAACTAAGGAGAAATTTTCCCGACAGTGAGAACAATTAACCAGTGGAACTGCCTGCCACCAGAAGTCATGTGTGTTCCATCACTGGAGGTTTTTAAGAGACTGGACAGCCATTTGAGAGTGTCCTGCTTCAGCAGATGGTTGGGTTAGAACAGGGGTGAAATGCTCCCGGTTCGGACCGGCTCGGGCGAGTAGGTAGCGATGATGGCCGGTGGCTCGGAGAACCGGTAGCAATGGCAGCTGGAGGCTCCACCCACCCGCCCACCCGCCCCATTCCCCGGACTCGGGGAATGCACCATTCCCCGAATTCCTACTGCTCACCTTTCTCCCGCGGCAGCTGGCTGTCAGAGAAGGCAAGTGCCCGAAAGGTAGCGGAGTTGCTCACTCTCCTTGAATGAGCCGCTCTGGTCCATGCGCCAGCTGCACAAGCACACACCCAACCTGCCACTGAATTAAATAAACGATGTGCGCTTGCGCAGCTGGCGCGTGGACCACAGCGGCTCATTCAAGAAGGAGAGTGAGCGACTCCGCTATCTTTCGGGCGCTTGCCTTCCCTGACAGCCAGCTGCCGCGGGAGAAAGGTGAGCAGTAGGAATCCGGGGAATGGGGCGGGTGGGCGGAGCGGCGGGAGAAAGAAATTTAAAAAGTTTTCCTACCGGGTTCTGTGGGCGTGGCTTGGTGGAAGGGGGTCTTGTGACTGAGTGGGCGTGGCTGTGGGTGACATCAAGTTGGCCACACCCACTCAGTCACAGGACACCCCCCCACCAAGCCACGCCCACAGAACCAGTAGGGAAAAATTTTAGATTTCACCCCTTGGGCTAGAAGTCCTCCAAGGTCCTTTCTAACTCTGTTATTCTGTTAGGGGGTTGGGCTAGAAGACCTCTACAGTAGGAAGGGACCCCTTGTTGTTCTGTATTGTATATCTAATGAGTTCCTTTTCTCTTCCTCGCTGTCTCTAGACGAGAACGAATGCCGGACCAAGCCGGGCATCTGCCCCAACGGGCGCTGCGTGAACACCGTGGGCAGCTACCACTGCGACTGCAACGAAGGCTTCCAGAGCAGCCCCTCGGGCACCGAGTGCCTCGGTAATCCATCCCACCCCTGTGCTGATTTCTCGGGGAATGTTCAGGCAGGAGTGAGTCCTGACGGGTTTTCCACTTTTGGGGGGGGGGGTTGAGGAGAAGGAGGTGTTGTGATGTATTAGGAGCAATTTAGCCTCCTCCTGTTCCTAATTTAGTGGAACAATTTGCCTCCAGAAGTTGAGAATGCTCCAACACTGGAGGTTTTGAAGAAGAGCTCGGACAACCATTTGTCTGAAATGGGATAGGGCAGTGCTGGCTAATTTTTTTATTGTCGTGTGCCAAAAGCACGTGTGTGCTGGCACCCATAATACAATGCACGGGGGGCCCTGCGCATGGGTGCATGACTCCCCTGCATGATCCCTCTATGCTCCCCCTCCACCCACATGCACGTGCAACCCCTCCCCCCACTTGTTTTGCGCCTAGCAGGCCTCCCTGCCTCCTCCTGGGCCCAAAAATGGGCTGGGGGAGAGGCAGGCCACCCCACCTCCGCCCATGTGTGCGTGACCCCCTATGCATGCGTGCAACCCCCCCCATGTATGCGTGTGACCTCCCTGCACAGGTCCCTGCGTGTACAGGCATAGGAGCTGAACTAAGCGATGGCTCTCATGCAGTGGTGGGTTCCTCCCGGTTTGGTCTGGTTCGGCCGAGCCGGTAGCGGTGATGATATGATGTCACCGAACCGGTTCTCCCCACCCCTGCCCTCCCAGCCTCCCCCCACCCACGTTATTCTTACCTTTTATTTGGCCCCACCCCCAATCTATTGCTGCCTCCTGAGTCCCAGCTGATGACTAGATGGAAAAAAACTGTCTAAACTCTTGCGGGGGGCTTCAAAGGGCCGCCCTACAGCTGATCAGTGTTAAAAGCAAACAAATGAGTCGGGTCGTAAGTGCGAGGACTGGTCGTAAGTGCGAGGACCTTCCAGAAATGACTCTGACCAGCTAGCCACGCCCACCTAGTCACATGACCTCCAAGCCACACCCACAAAATAAGCCACGCCCACAGAACAGGTAGTAAAAAAATGTAGAACCCACCCCTGCTCTCATGCCCGCAGAGAGAGCTCTGCCTGCCAGCTGCGGCAGCACGCGTGCCACAGGTTCGCCCTCACGGGGAGAGGGTTTCCTGCCTGAGAAGAGGGCTGGGATAGAAGACCTCCAAGGTCCCTCCCAACTCTGTCATTCTGTAAGGGTCTCCTGCTTGCTTAGGGGGTTGGGCTACATGACCTCTAAGGCCCCTCCCAACTCGGTTATTCCATTATTCGCCAGCCAGCCCTTCCTTTAAATCGCCAAAATAAAGGAGGAATTTCAAGCATGAAATCAAGCGCTCCACGGCTTGGGACCTGGTTATTTACGGGACCGCCTAATACCACAAACAGCCTCCCACTGGCCGGTACGCTCTCACAGAGAGGGGCTCCTCCGGGTGCCGTCAGCCAAGCAGTGTTGACTGGCGGCCCCAGGGGGAGGGCCTTCTCTGTGGGGGCACCCACTATCTAGCTCCCCCGGAGATACGGAGCTCCCCCGGAGATACGGAGGATCCCGGATCTGCGCACTTTCCGCCGTGCTCTTAAGACCCTCCTATTCCAGCAAGCCGGCCTGGCCTAATTTTCTCCCCCTTTCTTTTAAATTTTTAAATTGAAATTTTAATTTGTTTTTAAATTATTGGGATTTTTAATTGCCTTGGGCTAAATTATTTAATTTGGTTTTAATTACGTTTCTAACTTTTGTATCTATGTATTTTATTTCGGCCTGTTCACCGCCCTGAGTCCCTCGGGAGTAGGGCGGTATATAAATTTAATAAAACATAAACAAAACATAAAGCAGAGGTCCATTTTCATCAGCCTTCAAGGGCACCCCTGCCCTCTGTGACGGCAGTGAGGGCATTTTCCCCCCAGGAGCTATGACAAAGAGACTTTGCGCGCTTGAAAAAGGAGCCTTTTCTGAGTGAAATTCAGCTTTTTATTTATTTATTTATTTTTGATTCTGTGGGATAATGTTGGGCAGGGTCGAGGGTGCTCAAAACTTGGATGCTTTCCTATCTGCCCTTGTGGATTGAAAAGAAATTGAAGAAGGGATGGAATCAGGACTTCTTCATTTCCTTAAGTCAGTGTTTCTCAACCTTGGAAGCTTGAAGATGGGTGGACTTCAACTCCCAGAATCCCCCAGCCAGCAGCGCTGGCTGGGGGATTCTGGGAGTTGAAGTCCACCCATCTTCAAGCTTCCAAGGTTGAGAAACACTGACTTAAGTTGATGAGATCTTTAAAATCTGCGTCAACTCATTCTCAGTCTAGGGAGTCCTCGTCTTACGTCCACCACGGAGCCCAACATTTCTGTCGCCAAACGAGGCAAGTTTTTAAGTGTGCCTGATTTTACAACCTTTCTTGACCCAGTTGTTAAGTGACTCACTGGAAGTTTTTTGGGTTAATCCCTTAACTAAACCATTCGCTTGTTAAGTTAATAATTCACTTAACAACTCTTCTTAAAAACCTCCAGTAATGGAGCACCCATAATTTCTGGAAGTAAGCCGTTCCGCTCATGGTGGGTTCTAAATTTTTTTACTACCGGTTCTGTGGGCGTGGCTTATTTTGTGGGCGTGGCTTGATGGTCATGTGACAATTCTTTAGATTTAGCAGAGGTACTGGTCTACCAGGCTTTTAACTGCTTGCAGAGCTGTACCTGTCTACCCATTTGTTTTTGGAGGCACCGGTCTACTCATTTGTTTTTGCAGGCACCGGTCTACTCATTTGTTTTTGGAGGTACCGGTCTACTCATTTGTTTTTAGAGGCACCGGTCTACTCATTTGTTTTTGGAGGCACCGGTCTACACATTTGTTTTTGGAGGCACCGGTCTACTCATTTGTTTTTGGAGGCACGGTCTACTCATTTGTTTTTGGAGGCACCGGTCTACACATTTGTTTTTGGAGGCACCGGTCTACTCATTTGTTTTTGGAGGCACCGGTCTACTCATTTGTTTTTGGAGGCACCGGTCTACTCATTTGTTTTTGCAGGCACCGGTCTACTCATTTGTTTTTGGAGGCATCGGTCTACTCATTTGTTTTTGGAGGCAACGGTCTACTCATTTGTTTTTGGAGGCACCGGTCTACTCATTTGTTTTTGGAGGCACCGGTCTACTCATTTGTTTTTGGAGGCACCGGTCTACTCATTTGTTTTTGGAGGCATCGGTCTACTCATTTGTTTTTGGAGGTACCGGTCTACTCATTTGTTTTTAGAGGCACCGGTCTACTCATTTGTTTTTGGAGGCATCGGTCTACTCATTTGTTTTTGGAGGTACCGGTCTACACATTTGTTTTTGGAGGCACTGGTCTACTCATTTGTTTTTGGAGGCACCGGTCTACTCATTTGTTTTTGGAGGCACCGGTCTACACATTTGTTTTTGGAGGCACCGGTCTACTCATTTGTTTTTGGAGGCACCGGTCTACTCATTTGTTTTTGCAGGCACCGGTCTACTCATTTGTTTTTGCAGGCACCGGTCTACTCATTTGTTTTTGCAGGCACCGGTCTACTCATTTGTTTTTTGGAGGCACCGGTCTACCAGCACACTGCCTTTTAACACTGATCAGCTGTAGGGCAGCCCTTTGAAGCCCCACGGCAAGAGTTTAAACAGTTTTTTTCCCTCTAGCCATTAGCTGGGATTCAGGAGGCAGCAATAGATTGGGGGTGGGGCCAAATAAAAGGTAAGAATAATGTAGGGGGGCGGGGGGTGGGGGGGCAGAACCGGTTCAGTGACATCATATCGTCACCGCTACCGGTTCGGCGGAACCGGGCGGAACCGGGAGGAACCCACCACTGGTTCCACTGGTTAATAACCAGAATGACAAAGTTGGAAGAGACCTTGGAGGTAAAATAGAATAGAATAGAGCTGGAAGGGACCTTGGAGGTCTTCTCGTCCAGCCCCCTGCTCAAACAGGAGACCCTACACCAGTATTTCCGACCATCATCTGTGCCGTGAGATTTAAAATCGCTAGAAGCAGGAAATCCTGCTTTCTAGTGAATCTAAATCGCACGGCATGAGTTTGGCGCACGCCGTGCATGAGTGGCCAGCGAACTGGTGGCAAACCGATTCAGATTTCACCACTGCCCTAATGCACCACTGCCCTAATGCACTGCCCTTATCTGCACCATTGCAGATAAGTGACTGTCCAGTCTGTTCTTAAAAACATCCAGTGAAGGAGAACCCACAACGTCTGGTGGCAAGCAGTTCCACTGGTTAATTGTCCTCACTGTTGGGAAGTTTCTCCTTAATTCCAGGTTGCTTCTGTCCTTGATTAGTTTCCATCCGTTGTTTCTTATCCTGCCTTCAGGTGCTTTGGAAAAATAATTTGACCCCCCTTCTTCTTTGTGGCAGCCCCTCAAATATTGGAAGGCTGCTATTATATCACCCCTAATTCTTCTTTTCTTTTCTTTTCTTTCTTTCTTTCTTTTTTTTTTTTTTTTTTTTGCTTTAATTTATATGCCGCCCTTCTCCGGAGACTCAGGGCAGCTTACAATGCATCAAGCAATAGCCTTCATACTTTTGTATATTTATACAAATATACAAATTTGTATTTTGTATATTTATACAAATATACAAATTTGTATTTGTATAGCCAAACCCAAATCCTGTCTCCGGGCCTTTGATCCTCTTAGTTGCTCTTCTCTGCACTTTTTCCAAAGTCTCAACCTCTTTCTTGTTGTAGTATGGTGACCGGAATTGCTTGCCGTATTCCAGGTGCGGCCTTACTAAAGGCTTTGTAAAGCTGTACTAAGACTTCACAGTGATTGTGACTCTCTGCTTTTAATTCTCTCCTTGTTGGCCTCCGATGTTCTTCTCTTTATTTTTTTCCAGTTTCCCTGACAATACAAAGTAAAAGCGATCCAGCCATTACAGAGATTATAAAGAGATTAGCAAATGCTTCATCCCACTAACGCATCACCTGGCCGTTGGCCAAGACTTCAGGCCAAGCCCAAAAGTGGACACGACTTAATCAGTGGCCAAAGAAAAGTGCATTTGCTCAAATCAGGAGGAAGAATTCTCTAGCCTCTTCCAGCTTCTCTTTGTTCCCCTTCCAACGTCTGCATTCTGCCTCTTTTAAACATAATGGAAGATATTGTATTTCAGTGGGGGTTCAGGGCTCCTGAACGATTTGGGCAAAAAGCATCAAAAATGCAGACAAAAGGAACGTTCAGCAGAGGTTTCATCTCCAGATTTTGTTTCTCGAATAGTTAGTTAAATATTTAACTGAATAGTGAATATTTAGTTTAAAAGTGGGGGGAGGGACACGGTGGGGTCCCTAGTGCTCTCAGAGTTTGCTGGTTTTCTTGCAGACATTTCATGACCCAAGAAGGGAACATCATCAGTGTTAAAAGAGGGTGGAATTTGCAGAGAGGAGGGGGAGGAGGAGGAGGAGGAAGAAAAGAAGGAAGAGGTGGAAAATAAGAGGACGAGGAAGAGGAAGTGGAGAGGGGAGAGGGCAGGAAGAGGAGGAGGAAGAAAAGGAAGTGGAGGGGGAGGAAGAGGAGGAAGTAGGAGAAGAAGGGGAGGAAGGAGAAGAGAGGAGGAGGAAGAGGAAAATAAGAGAAGAACAAAGGAGGAGGAGGAAGAGGAGGAGAAAGAGGAAGAAAAGTGGAGGGGAGGAGGAGGAAGAGGAGGAAGAGGAGAAGAAAGGAGGAGGAAAATAAGAGAAGAAGAAAGGAGGAGGAGCAAGAAGGGAAGGAAGAGGAGGAGAAAGAGGAAGAAAAGTGGAGGGGAGGAAGAGGAGAAGAAAGGAGGAAGAGAAAGAGGAGAAGGGGAGGAAGAGGAGGAGGAAGAGGAAGAAAAGGGGAGGGGAGGAGGAGGAGGAAGAGGAGAAGAAAGGAGGAAGAGAAAGAGCAGAAAGGGAGGAAGAGAAGGAGGAAGAAAAGTGGAGGGGAGGAGGAAGAGGAAAAGAAAGGAGGAAGAGAAAGAGCAGAAGGGGAGGAAGAGGAAGAAAAGGGGAGGGGAGGAAGAGGAGGAGGAAAAGAAAGGAGGAAGAGAAAGAGGAGAAGGGAGGAAGAGGGGGAAAAATAAGAGAAGGAAGAGGAGGAGGAGAAGTAGGAGCGTAGGCTCCATGGTGCTGTCCGAGCTTTTCTTGCAGACGTTTCATTACCCAACTAGGTAACATCATCAAGGCTAACAAGCAGTGGGGTTTTCTCTCCATTTATATTCTCGTGGCTTGCCCTGCCAGTGTTGGTGGGAGGGGGTTTGTTGGGTCCTTGAACCCTGAGCTACAAACCTTCTCTTCCGTCGGTGAAAGGGCCCTGTGCCAATGGAGTCCTGCTATGCTGCAGCCAGTGTGGGTATAGATGATGCCACCCTTCAACGCTGGGTATGGCATCCTAGAGTCAGAAGAGGGCTCCCGAGGCCATCTAGCCCAACCCCTTGGTCAGTACAGGGATGCCAATGCAAATCGGTCATTGGCTCCCCTCTCCAGCTGCCTTTGAGGGCACCAAGGTGGGTTAAAGCTACCAATTGGAAGCCAATTCAGGTTGGACCTCTGGAGGAGAACACCCTGGCTGTGTGCGGTCTGTTAGCCAGTGGAACTGGCTGCCACATGAAATGAGGAATTCTCCTTTCTCCGAGTCTTCAGAGGCTCGACGGTGCAAGAGTAAGCGGGGGGGAGTCTCCAACTTTGGCAACGTTAAAATCTTGTGGACTTCAACTTCCAGGATTCCTCAGCCAGCCATTGGCGGAGGATGAGCCCTGAGCAGGGGGTTGGACTAGATGGCCTCTAGGGGCTCCCTTCCCCCCTTGACAGTTGCAGGAACATAGCCAGCCCATCTCTTGCAAATCAAAACTAGAAGACGGGGGTTCAGATAGGTTGCAAGCCCCCCCCCTTGCCCTGCCAGAGACTCACTGCGGTAATCCCCCCCGTCTCTCCCCCCCCCCCCCGCACAGACACTCGCCAAGGCTTCTGCTTCACCGAGGTGCTCCAGACGTTGTGCCAGATGTCCTCCACCAACCGGCAGCAGGTCACCAAGTCCGAGTGCTGTTGCAACGGAGGACGAGGCTGGGGGCCCCAGTGCGAACCCTGCCCCTTCCTGGGCACAGCCCAGTACAAGAAGATGTGCCCCCACGGGCCGGGCTACATGACTGACGGGAGAGGTGAGTGGCTGCCCTGAAATGCCAGGTCCCCCTTCCATAAACGATGGGGGGCCCATCGCCCTATTATTGGGCTGCTAGGTTTCAGGGGACCAATTGAAAAGGGGGAGAGGGAGGGAGGGAGGGAGGGAAGGAAGACAAGAAAGAAAGCGAGAGAGAGAAGGAAGGAAGGAAGGAAGGAAAGAAAGAAAAGGAAGGAAGGAAGGAAGAAAGAAAGAAAGAAAGAAAGAAAGAGAAGAAAGAAAGAAAGAAAGAAAGAAAGAAAGAAAGGATGGATGGATGGATGGATGGATGGATGGATGGATGGATGGATGGAAAAAAGAGGAAAGAGGGAGGGAGAAGGAAGGAGAGAGAGAGAGAGAGAGAGAAGAGAGAGAAGGGAAGACAAGAAGAAAGATAGAAAGGAAGGAAGGAGAGACGAGAGATGAAGGAAGACAAGAAGACAGAAAAGAAAGGAAGAAAAGAAAGAGGAAGGAAGGAAAGAAAGAAAGAGGAAGGATGGATGGATGGAAAAAGTGAGAGAGGAAAGAGGGAGGGAGGAGAGAAGGAAGGAAGGAAAGAGAGAGAAGGAAGGAAGACAAGAAGAAAGGAAGGAAGGAGAGATGAGAGAGGAAGGAAGACAAGAAGACAGAAAAAGGAAGAAAAGAGAGAGGAAGGAAGGAAGGAAAGAAAGAAAGAAAGGAAGGAATGATGGAAAAGTGAGAGAGGAAAGGGAGGAGAGAAGGAAGGAAGGAAGGAAGGAAGATAAGACAGAAAAGAAAGGAAGGAAAAAGGAAGGAAGGAGAGAGAAGAGAGAGGAAGGAAGAAGAAGAAGAAAGAAAAGAAAGAAAGAGGGAAGAGAGAGAAGAGAGAAGGAAGGAAGTCAGAAGAAAGAGAGGGAGATTTTTTTCCTTCTTTGGGCCTTTTCTGGGGCTCCCCCCAGCCCTTTCCTGAAGTGAACGAAGCCTCCGGGGGGTCCCTTCCCGAGCGATTTCTTTTCTGGAGCCTTGCTGGGCCCCTTGAAGAGCCTCGGACAATCTCGTCTCCAGACGCCCACAATTTCACACAGGGGACTTTTCATAACATTACTTAAAAGCTAAAAGTTCCCCTCGCACATCCGTGCTAGGCGTTCCCGACTCTAGGGGGCGCTGCTCATCCCCGTTTCAAAGCCGAAGAGCCAGCGCTGTCCGAAGACGCCTCCGTGGTCATGTGGCCTCAACGCCAAAGGCGCACGGAACGCTCTTCCCTTCCCCATCAAAGGTGGTGCCTATTTTTTCTACTCGCATTTTTTTTTTACCTGCTTTCGAACTGCCGGGTTGGCAGAAGCTGGGAGAAGTCACGGGAGCTCACCCCGTTAGGCGGCACTCGGGATTTGAAACCGCTGAACTGCCGACCTTTCGATCGACAAGCTCAGCGTCTTAGCCCCTGAGCCACCGCGTCCTTTTCAAATTACTTCCCTCGATATAAAAATTACTCCGGTCGTCCCGACCAAGATAACTCCAGTGTCGCTAACGCCAGTGAAGCTGCTTGCTTTGAGAAGGCGTTCCATAGAATTTATCGCCTGTTGGTGACAACTCCTTTTCAGGCAGCAGTTTCTTGATTTCTCTCAGGTGGGGGGGGCAGCTGGTGGTGAAGGTTTGCCGCCCCCCCCCCCCGCATTTTCACTCCAAAGGCTTTCATGAGAAAGGAGGGGGGCTGGGAAACCGTGGTTTGGAGGGGGCCCTGCACCCCATCGCTTGGGGCCAGGGAAGGCTGGTGGGCTTGCTGTGTTTTAATGGAGGATTTCCCCCCCCCCCCGGCAGATATCGACGAATGCAAAGTGCTGCCCAAACTTTGCCATCACGGCCAGTGCATCAACACCGTGGGCTCCTTCCGCTGCCACTGCCACCTCGGCTACACCCTGGACATCACCGGGACCCTCTGCCAGGGTAAGGGGCCTCATCCCCCTGCCCACCAGGCTCCCTTCTGCCATGGCTGGGCCCCTGCTCCATGATCCTTCCTTCCTTCCTTCCTTCCTTCCCACCCCATCAAATATCTTCCTTCCTTTCTTTCTTTCTTTCTTCCTTCCTTCTTTCTTTCTTTCTTTCTCTTTCCTGCCTTCCTGCCTTTCTTCCCATCAAATATCTTCCCTCCCTCTTTCTTTCTTTCTTTCTCCTTCCTTCCTTCTTTCTTTCTTTCTCCTTCCTGCCTTCCTGCCTTTCTTCCCCATCAAATATCTTCCCCTCCCTTCTTTCTTTCTTTCTTTCTTTCTTTCCTTCCTTCCTTCTTTCTTTTTTCTTTCTCTTCCTGCATTCCTGCCTTTCCTTCCCCCATCAAATATCTTCCCTCCCTCTTTCTTTCTTTCTTTCCTTCCTTCTTTCTTTCTTTCTCCTTCCTGCCTTCCTACCTTTCTTCCCCATCAAATATCTTCCTTCCTCTTTCTTTCTTTCTTTCTTTCTTTCTTTTCTTTCTTTCTTTCTTTCTACTTCCTGCCTTCCTGCCTTTCTTCCCCATCAAATATCTTCCCTCCCTCTTTCTTTCTTTCCTTCCTTCTTTCTTTCTTTCTTTCTTTCTCCTTCCTGCCTTCCTACCTTTCTTCCCCATCAAATATCTTCCTTCCCGCCGTCCTTCTTTCTTTCTTTCTTTCTTTCTTTCTCCTTCCTGCCTTCCTACCTTTCTTCCCCATCAAATATCTTCCTTCCCGCCTTCCCTCTTTCTTTCTTTCTTTCTTTCTTTCTCCTTCCTGGCCTTCCTACCTTTCTTTCCACCATCAAATATCTTCCCTCCCTCTTTCTTTCTTTCCTTCCCTCTTTTCTTTCTTTCTTTCTTTCTCCTTCCTGCCTTCCTACCTTTCTTCCCCATCAAATATCTTCCTTCCCGCCTTCTTTCTTTCTTTCTTCTTCTTTCTTTCTTTCTTTCCTTTCTTTCTTTTCTTTCTTTCTTTCTTTCTTTCTTTCTTTCTTTCTCCTTCCTGCTTCCTACCTTTCTTCCCCATCAAATATCTTCCTTCCCACCCTCCCTCCCTTTCTTCTTCCTTCCTTCCTTCCTTCCTTCCTTCCTTTCTTTCTTTCTTTCTTTCTTTCTTTCTTTCTTTCTTTCTTTCTCCTTCCTGCCTTTCTTCCCTATCAAATATCTTTCTTCCTTCCTTCCTTCCCTCCCTTCCTCCCTCCCCCCTCCCTCCTTCCTTCCTTCCTTCCTTCCTCCCTTCCTTCCTTCCTTCCTTCCTTCCTTCCTAAAATTTAGTGGCCACTCATCTTAACCACAAGGTTAATCTGGGCAGCTTTCAATATTAAAAGGTAAAACGATACAAAACCTAAAAAATATAAATACTGTAAATGTCCAAATACTGAGAGACCCGGTTAAAAGAGCAGGAGGGAGGGAAGGAAGGAATAGGATGAGAAGGGGTGGGGGGAGGGGGGGGCGGATTCCCTTGGGGTGAGAGGTCCTGGGTAAGGCCCCTCCCCCAATGAAAATTGCACCCAAGGGCTGAGAGGAAAAGGGGGGCGGGGGTTTCCAGTTTATTTATTTATTATTATTTATTTATTTTGTCACATTTCTATGCCGCCCCACTCCCAAGGGACTCTGGGTTGCTTCCCCTGAGGCCGCCATCTTGAATTTAATAACCCAACCTCCACCATGACTGCCTCCGACCACCTCTGGGGGCGTCAAGAGGTCCCCTCTGTACATCAAAGCCCCTCCCCGGGCTTAAGCCCACCTGCCCACCCAAAGTCACTAAATCCACAGATAGTCCATTTGTTTAGTGACCGTTCACATTTATAACGGCACCGGGGAAAAAAGGTGACTTACCTTCATTTTTCACTCTTACGGCCGTCCCAGCATCCCCCTGAGGGACAGGATCAAAATTTTGAATGCTTGCAACCTTGGTTCCTATTTTACGACGGTCGCAATAGGCCCCTTTTTAAGGCCAAGGCCACGGTGGGGGGTGGGGGGGCAGATTCACATTTCGCCACCGTCTCGCTCACTTCACCGCTGCACGGATTTGCTTAACAACGGTGGCAGGCACTGTCATAAAAGGGGTGAGGGTGTGAGACTCACTTAAGGACGGTCTCACTTAGCCACGGAACTTTTGTGTCGTAAAGCCGAGGACTTTGATATTGGAGAAAGAAGACCAGTTTATTTATTTATTTATTAGTTCGATTTATATGCCGCTCTTCTCTGGAGACTCAGGGCGGCTTACAATGCGTTAAGCAATAGCCTTCATACTTTTGTATATACCTGCTTAGTAGGGCTTTCGCTGCCCCCCCAAGCGGTGTTCTTTTTTATACAAAGTCAGCTTATTGCCCCCACAATCCGGGTCCTCATTTTACCTACCTCGGAAGGAGGGAAGGCTGAATCAACCTTGAGCCTGGTGAGATTTGAACTTGCAGTAATTGCAGGCAGCTGGTAGCTAAGTGCTACTTTAACAGCACTTTAGTCTGCTGCGCCACCAAGGCTCCTAGTTAAGCCACTTTGGACCCTTGCTCTCCCTCCCTTTCTCCATCTCTCCCCCCCTCCCCACTTAGACCTGGACGAGTGCAGCCAGTCTCCCAAACCTTGTAATTTCATCTGCAAGAACTCAGAGGGCAGCTTCCAGTGTTCCTGCCCCAGAGGGTACATCCTGCAGGAAGATGGCAAGACTTGCAAAGGTGAGATGGACCTGGGGGTAGGGGGCACGGAAGGGGTGGGGTCGGGGGCCAAGGGAGGCCAGTGCTTTGAGGGACCACCCCAAACCTTTGCCCATCCGAATGATTTGCTCCTCAGAAGCTCCCAGCTGGGTCTCCCATCCGTGTCCGCCTCTGTCCTAGGATTTGCCCCCCTCCCCTAAAATCTTTTAGTGCCCGTTCAAGAGAGAACAAGCATTGGATGATATTTAAAGCACTGTTTCTTGACTCTATGGACTGGAAGATGGGTGGACTTCAACTCCCAGAATTCCCCAGCCAGCATTTGCTGGCTGGGGGATTCTGGGAGTTGAAGTCCACCCGTCTTCCAGGTAGTAGAGAAACACGGAGTTAGAGAGATGCTTAAGAGCGAACAGAGCATGTGCTGACTGGGGAATTCTGGGAGTTGAAGTCTACCGTCTTCCCGGTAGTAGGAGAAACACGGAGTTAGAGATGCTTAAGAGCGAACCGAGCATGTGCTGGCTGGGGAATTCTGGGAGTTGAAGTCCACCCGTCTTCCAGGTAGTAAGAGAAACACGGAGTTAGAGAGATGCTTAAGAGCGAACAGAGCATTTGCTGGCTGGGGGATTCTGGGAGTTGAAGTCCACCCGTCTTCCAGGTAGTAAGAGAAACACGGAGTTAGAGAGATGCTTAAGAGCGAACAGAGCATGTGCTGACTGGGGGATTCTGGGAGTTGAAGTCCACCCGTCTTCCAGGTAGCAAGAGAAACACGGAGTTAGAGAGATGCTTAAGAGCGAACAGAGCATTTGCTGGCTGGGGGATTCTGGGAGTTGAAGTCTACCCGTCTTCCAGGTAGTAAGAGAAACACGGAGTTAGAGATGCTTAAGAGCGAACCGAGCATGTGCTGACTGGGGAATTCTGGGAGTTGAAGTCTACCCGTCTTCCAGGTAGTAAGAGAAACACGGAGTTAGAGAGATGCTTAAGAGCGAACAGAGCATGTGCTGGCTGGGGAATTCTGGGAGTTGAAGTCTACCCGTCTTCCAGGTAGTAGGAGAAACACGGAGTTAGAGATGCTTAAGAGCGAACCGAGCATGTGCTGGCTGGGGAATTCTGGGAGTTGAAGTCCACCCGTCTTCCAGGTAGTAAGAGAAACACGGAGTTAGAGAGATGCTTAAGAGCGAACAGAGCATGTGCTGGCTGGGGGATTCTGGGAGTTGAAGTCCACCCGTCTTCCAGGTAGTAAGAGAAACACGGAGTTAGAGAGATGCTTAAGAGCGAACCGAGCATGTGCTGACTGGGGAATTCTGGGAGTTGAAGTCCACCCGTCTTCCAGGTAGTAAGAGAAACACGGAGTTAGAGAGATGCTTAAGAGTGAACAGAGCATGTGCTGGCTGGGGAATTCTGGGAGTTGAAGTCTACCCGTCTTCCAGGTAGTAAGAGAAACACGGAGTTAGAGAGATGCTTAAGAGCGAACAGAGCATGTGCTGACTAGGGAATTCTGGGAATTGAAGTCCACCCGTCTTCCAGGTAGTAAGAGAAACACGGAGTTAGAGAGATGCTTAAGAGCGAACAGAGCATGTGCTGGCTGGAGAATTCTGGGAGTTGAAGTCCACCCGTCTTCCAGGTAGTAGGAGAAACACGGAGTTAGAGAGATGCTTAAGAGCAAACAGAGCATGTGCTGACTAGGGAATTCTGGGAATTGAAGTCCACCCGTCTTCCAGGTAGTAAGAGAAACACGGAGTTAGAGAGATGCTTAAGAGCGAACCGAGCATGTGCTGGCTGGGGAATTCTGGGAGTTGAAGTCCACTCAGCTTAGAGTTGCCAAGGTGCAGAAACCAGGTGATGAAAACTACAAACTCTTTTACGCCCCCTGGGGGTCATCCAGACGTCTGCAGCTCAGTTCCCATATGAACAGCCCCAAACCAGATATTATTCACAGCAGAGGAAGAAAAAATTGTGAGAAGGAGAAAAAAAAAAATTGGCACATCCATTTAGGAAGAATCCAGCAAGCCTCTCCTCCCACCCCCCACCCCCCAAATTTCTAGAGTCCTCTAGCCCCCCCCCCTCTTCCTCAACCTGGCAGGTAATTCTTAAAATTCTCTATAAAAGTTTTTAAGAAGAGATTGGACAACTGCTTGTCTGTAATGGTTGTTCTGTCCCCGTACCCCACACGCACCCCCACGGACGGCCCAGAGTTAATAAGCCACACGACAAAACTCTTTGAAGATAAAGCTGGCAGCAACCCAGTGTCTAGCTGCCAATTCAGACTTTACTCACACAAAACAAAGATTAGACTGCCAGCATTCCGATAAAACAGGCAAAGTTTTCAGCAATACAAGGATTAGTCCAAATGCAGTCCGATAAAGCAGGCAAAGTCCAGTAACACAGAGATTGTGGAGTATTTCCAGTTTTTGCTCGTCACAAACTGAACCGGCCACCACACCCACATTTATACCCTGTGGGGTGTGGTCCAGTGACTCAGCTAATCTCTGGCACGCCTTCCCCTCTGCTGTGCACACTTCTCCCTGCGCCTTTGCCGAGGGTCCAGCCAGCACTTATCTTCTTCATCGCTGTCCACCTGTGGCTGCGGGGACGTGCTTGGCTCTGGGCCTATCTCTTGGCCTTCGGTGTCCTCCAGAGGCATTGCCAGAGAGGAGGGTCCTGGAGAGGGAGGCCTTACCAGCTCCTCTTCCTCACTCTCAGAGTCTGCATCTGTCGATAGCCCAGACTCAGGCAACGGAGCCACAACACTGGTCTCGTTTAGGGTCTCAGGCCTGAGCAGGGGGTTGGACTAGAAGACCTCCAGGGTCCCTTCCAACTCTGTACTTCTGGTAATCTCACTTTCTTTTTTTCCAGATTTGGACGAGTGTTCCACGAAGCAGCACAACTGTCAGTTCCTCTGCGTGAACGTCATTGGCGGCTTCAACTGCAAGTGCCCTCCAGGATTCACCCAGCACCATTCTTCCTGCATCGGTGAGTTACCCGTTTCCTAATTTTAAACCGCAAAACACAGAATTGGGGGTTGCATTGGGGTGTGTTCGGATCTTAAGCCAGGATAAAAAAAATTTTAAAAAATTGTGGTTTGTGACTCAGCATTTGATGAAAAACCTCAAACACTCTCGGGGGTGGAAGGTTTTACTGATGTCTGCTTCATTTTGCTAAAGTTATTATTTTCCAGCTAGGCGTATTTTCTCCTACCTAAGAAGGGGGGGGGGGGGAAGTGTTGGTGGTGCAGCAGACTAAAGCACTGTTAAGTAACACCAGCTGCCTGCAATTACTGTGAGTTCAAATCTCCCCAGGCTCAAGGTTGACTCAGCCTTCCATCCTTCCGAGGTAGGTAAAATGAGGACCCGGTTTGTGGGGGCAATAAGCTGACTTTGTATAAAAAAGAACACCTTAGGGGGGGGCGAAAGCGCTACTAAGCAAGTATATACAAAAGTATGAAGGCTATTGCTTAACGTATTGTAAGCCACCCTGAGTCTCCGGAGGAGGGCAGCATATAAATCGAACCAATAAATAAATAAATAAATAAAAGTCAGCTGCCAATTTGGGGCAATGATAGGTGGTCCTTGATTTACAACCCTTCGTTTAGTGACAGTTCAAAGTTACAACAGCACTAAGGAAGTGACTTGTGATCTCTCCTCACACTTACGACCATTTCAGACCATCCATCCCCGTGATCCCGTGATAAACAATTTGGTTTGCGTGACAGCGGATGTGTGTTTACGATAGTTGCCACGTCCTGGGGGGGGTTGTCACGTGATCCACATTTGCGACTTCTGATGAGCAACGTCAAGGGGGAGGGAGCCCGATTCACTTAATGACCATGTGATTCAGTAAACAACTTCAGTGTTTCACTTAGCAACCACAACAAGAAAGTTCATAGGATTGACTGAACAGTTCCATTCACTTAGCAACCTCCTCACTTAGCAATTCTTAAATCCAGAATCCAGAAAATGCCTGTCCCAATCGTGGTCGTAAGACGAGGTCTACCTGCATTATGATTGCAGGATCCCTTGACTGCAAAATAGGGTCCTTTGTTGGCTGAAGCTGCCCTCCGGGCTTTAGTGCCAGGTCCGAATTCACCTGCAAACATTTATTTACTCATGAAATGTTTACACCTCCCATGTTCCCTAAGTGACTCTGGGCTGTTAACAAAACGTTTACAACATGGTCCCCCACATTTTAAATGCAGGCAGCTTAGGAAAGCGCTTATTTGGAAAATAGGTCTCTCTAGCAAGCGAGCCAAGCCGCAAATTGCCTTCCACCATACAGTTGGTTCTGTGCCTGGTGTTTCCAACCACTGCCAGGAGTTTGTGGAGAAGCCGGTATCGTGCGTGTCTTTTCCGTAGAATTACTCGTTTCTTTTCATTTTTTTTAATCCCCTCTAGACAACAACGAGTGCACCTCCCAGCCGACGCTATGCGGGTCGAAAGGACACTGTCTGAATACCCCCGGCAGCTACAACTGCGAATGCCAGAAGGGATTTATTCTGGATAACTCCGGAAGCAGTTGCGAAGGTGTGTGTGCCATCCCCGCACACTTATGTGGGTGTGTGAAGGGGGGTAGGGTGGAACACGGATGTCCGGAATCATAGCTTACAACATGTATTGTAATATATGTATATAGGTCTTTGGTTATTCGGGTTTTCTCCCGCGTAAAATTGGAAGTGTCTTGGCGACGTTTCGACGAAGTCTCATTCGTCATCTTCAGGCTGGTGTTTTCAGCTTCGTGCTTCTAGGAGCAATGTGTGATTGCAGCTGTTTCTTCCTTTTAACTGCCAGTGGGGGTGTGAACTGATTGGTTGGGAGCCTGGCTGTGTTCTGATTGGGTGGAGGTGTGCTCTGATTGGATGGGGATTGGCTGTGCTCTGATTGGATGGGGGTGTGCTCTGTTGGGGGGGGCTTGGTTGTGCTCGAGTTAGCCTGAGTTGCAGAGGGATTTGAGCTGGTGAGCTGCGTTGCTGTTGTTTGGCTTCACGTTCGTGGTCATGCCACATCTTCATGGTGGGTGTCAGTTTGCTTCATGTATGGATTGGAGGGGTTTAAAGTGGCTAATGATGCAGCTGTGGTGTGGCCTCTGGTTTGTGGTCGTGCCTCATCATCGGTGTGGGTTTGAGTTTGCTTTGGGGCGTGGATGTGTGCTGGCTGGCGGATTCTGGGAGTTGAAGTCCACCCATCTTCAAGCTTCCAAGGTTGAGAAACACTGGTCTAAACAGAGACATGAACTCAAAATCATGTGGAGTCTTAGTAAATTGGAGTCCTAGTGGACAATCCCTTAAACGTGAGCCAGCGGGTGCACCGGCAGCCAAAAAAGTTAATACGATCCTGGGTTGTATAAACAGAGGGATAGAATCAAAATAAGTTGAAGTCTTAGTACCCTAGTACAGCGACACCTGGAATCCTGTGGGCAATTTTGGTCACCACATTACAGAAAAGACGTTGAGACTTTGGAAAAAGTGCAGAGAAGAGTGACCAAGATGATTAAAAGGCCTGGAGACTAAAACATATGAAGGATGGTTGCAGGATTTGGGTTTGGCTAGTCTAGAGAAAAGAAGAATTAGGGGGGACATGATAGCAGGATTTTAGTATTTGAGGGGCTGCCCCAAAGAAGAAGGGGGTCAATTTATTTTCCAAAGCCAGGACAAGAAGCAACGGATGGAAACTCATCGAGGAGAGAAGCAACCTGGAATTAAAGAGAAATTTCCTAACAATGAGGACAATTAACCAGTGGAACAGCTTGACACCAGAAGTTGTAGGAGCTGCATCATTGCAGGTTTTAAAGAAGAGACTGGACAATGAAATGGTTTAGGGCCGTGATGGGGAACCTATGGCGCGTGTGCCACAGGTGGCACGCGGAGCTATATCGGTGGGCTCTAGCTCAACTCCAGCATGTATGCATGCGCTGGCCAGCTGATTTTCGGGCCTTCCGGTCCTACCGGAAGCTGGGAAACGGGCCTTTTCTGGCCTCCGGGGGGATGGAGAAGGCTGTTTTCACCCTCCCCAGGCACCAAGAAAGCCTCTGGCACCTGGGGAGGGTGAAAAACAGGCCTACTATGCCATCGTGTGCCAAAAGTGGGGGGAGCGCAGGTGGGGTCACGCGCACATGCACGGGGGGGCGGGGGGCAATGAATTATGGGTGTGGGCATGCACACACACGACCGTCCCGGATTCCCCCCTCTTTTGGCACGCGACGGCAAAAAGGTTAGCCGTCACTGGTTTAGGGCAAAGGTGTCAAACAATTTAATTTCATTTAATTTCAGCGCTGTGGTCAGGGGTGGGTTCTACTTACCTTTACTACCAGTTTGCAATGGGACCGCGTACGTGAGCTCTTGCTTTGCTCGCTCGCGCGAGCTTCTGCACATGCGCAGATCACCCATGATGGTGTGATGGCGGATGGGCGGAGCCTCTCGCCACTTTTACTACCGGTTCTATAGAACCAGACCGAACCGGGAGCAACTCATCACTGGCTGTGGTTGACCTCAAGGGGGGGGGCTGGTGGTGGTGATGGCTGACTGGGTGGGTGTGGCTGACTGGGTGGGCGTGGCCAACTTGATGCCACTCCCCAAACTGCTGGCATGTTTCCTCTTTGCATTGGGTAGACCGGGCCGAAGTGATGCAGGACGGCCCTGCATCGTGGGTCGCCTCCAGCCCGCGAGCATTGTGTTTGACACCCCTGGTCTAGGGTCTCCTGCTTCAGCAGGGGGCTGGACTAGAAGACCTCCAAGGTCCCTTCCAGCTCTATTCTGAGTGATCGGTCGATCAGAAAACCGATTGCGAATGAGGGAGAGGTATTCGTAGCAGCGGTGTATAAGAGCAAAGGGCTTCCCTGCTTAGAGAGTCATCCACGTGTCTTTTGCACAGATGTGGACGAGTGTGACGGGAACCACCGGTGTCAGCATGGTTGTCAGAACGTGCTCGGGGGATACCGCTGCGGCTGCCCCCAAGGCTACATCCAGCACTACCAGTGGAACCAGTGCGTGGGTGAGTAAATCCACGGGGCCCCTTGGAGTACTTGCAGACGTTTCATGACCCAACTAGGGAATGTCATCAGTGCTGGAAGGGAGTAGGATCCTAGCACTGATGTTATCTAGTTTGGTAATAATGAAATGCCTGCAAGGAAACCACCAAGCTCAGAAAGTATCAAGGAAAGACCCCACAATTCTCCTCTTCCTCCTCCTCTTGTCCACCTCTTCCTCCTCCTGTCTGCGAATACCACTTCTTTCTAACACTGATGATGCTGCCTAGTTTGGTAATGGAATGTCTGCAAGAAAATAGCCAAGTTCAAAGAACATCAAGGATCCTATAGCTCCTCCTCCTCCAACCCACTCCCTCCTAATACTGATGATGTTACCTAGTTGGGTAATAAAACGTCTGCAAGAAAACCGCCCAACTCAGAGAGCACCAAGGACCCCACCGAAAGAGAAACCCAGATAAGCAGGGATTAACACCAGACAAACAATCAAGCAGAAAACAATGTCCCATCAACACTGGCAAGCCAAGCTCTCTCCCTTCTAGCACTGATGATGCTACCTAGTTGGGTAATGAAAAGTCTGCAGGAAGACCACCAAGCTCAGAGAGCACCCAGGACCCCATTGTCCTCCTCCTTCCCTTTCTCCCCCTCCTCCCCCTCCATCTCCCCATCCTCCTCCTCCTCCTCCTCCTCAAAACCTCCCTTCCTTCTAGCACTGGTGATGTTACTTAATTGGGTCATGAAATGTCTGCAAGAAAACCATCAAACTCAGAGAGCACCAAAGACCCCACTGTCCTCCTTCTCCTTCTTCCCTTTCTCCCCCTCCTCCGTCTCCATCTCCCCCTCCTCCTCCTCCTCCTCCTCCTCTTCCTCCTCTTCCTCTCTTCAAACCCGCTCCCTTGTAATACTGATAATGTTACCTGGTTGGATAATAAAACGCCTGCAAGAAAACCACCAGGCTCAGAGACCACCAAGGAGCCCCCCGCAAATAAACCCGATTTGATCCATAGCACTTTAGGGGCAGTTGGGGAGTTCGTTCGCCTGCCACTGAGCGTCGCGGTAAGTAGCCCGCTTCCTCTTCTTGCCCCAGATGAGAACGAGTGCTCCAGCTCAGCGATCTGCGGCTCGGCCTCTTGTTACAACACGCTGGGAAGCTTCAAGTGTGTCTGTCCGTCCGGCTTCGACTTCGACCAAGCCCTGGGCGGTTGCCAGGATGTGAATGAGTGCGCAGCCGGAGGGAGCCCCTGCAGCTACGGATGCTCCAACACCGAGGGGGGCTACCTCTGTGGCTGCCCCACCGGCTATTTCCGGGCAGGGCAAGGGTAAGTGTCTCCTTTCCTCCCCCATTGTGTTTCCGTAGGGCAGTTGTGAGAGAGCAGGAAGCGGTGCAATGGCCTAGAGGTGGAGCTCTCGCCTCGCAATCAGGAGGCTGTGAGTTCGATCCTAGGTAGAGGCAGATATTTCTCTCTCTGGGCACGATGAGAATATATCTGCTGCAGGGGTGGGTTCTAAATTTTTTTACTACCGGTTCTGTGGGCGTGGCTTATTTTGTGGGCGTGGCTTGATGGTCATGTGACAATTCTTTAGGATTTAGCAGAGGTAATGGTCTACCAGGCTTTTAACTGCTTGCAGAGCTGTACCGGTCTACCCATTTGTTCTTGGAGTGTTCCAGTCTACTCATTTGTTGTCTTTTAACACTGATCAGCTGTAGGGCGGCAAGAGTTTAAAGAGTTTTTTTTCCCTCTAGCCGATCAGCTGGGACTCAGGAGGCAGCAATAGATTGGGGGTGGGGCCAAATAAAAGGTAAGAATAACGTGGGAGGGGCGGGTGGGCAGAACCGGTTTGGTGACGTCATATCGTCACCGCTACCGGCTCGGTGGAACCGGGTGGAACTGGGAGGAACCCACCACTGATCTGCTGTGAACTCCGCATTGGTGACAGGAAGGGCATCCGGCCAGTAAACACTCGGCTCCATTCAGTTGCCCAGACTCCACCCCAATGCAAGGAATTACTTTTAAGGGGTCATTAAAAGACCAAAAAAAAAAAGAAGAAGTTGTGAGAGAGCAGGCTGCCTGTGACTACGTAGGGATTCTAGGCTGATTGCTCGTTTAACTCCACCTCCAGTTTCTGCCGATCCTTCTCCACCAAGACTCCCAGGTCCACTCAAGGCTCCCCACCCCCACCGCTGATTCATGTCTTTATACCCTCCAGGCACTGTGTCTCAGGACTGGGCTTCGCCAAGGAAAGCTATTTCCCGGCCCCCCCAGAAGAGGACGAAGAGAACCTGTTGTCTCCGGAAGCCTGTTACGAATGCAAGATCAACGGATACCCCAAGAGGGGTCGCCAGCGGCGCAGCGCCAACAGCACCCAGGCCCACCAGGTATGCCCTCAGACCAGAGGGGGACCTCCCCCATCTGAAAACATGGGGGCTGCTTTCAAAAGTTTCCCCCCCAATCTTAGGAGTGACACGTTTACCACTGCCTCCGCTGCGCAGTGGTTAGAGTGCGGTACTGCAGGCTACTTCTGCTGACTGCAGTTTGGCAGTTCGAATCTCCCCAGGCTGAAGGTTGACTCGGCCTTCCGTCCTTCTGAGATGGGTAAAATGAGGACCCAGATTGTTGGGGGCCAGAGGCTGACTCTGTAAACTGCTTAGGGCTTTAAAGCATTGGTGAAGCAGTATATTAGTCTAAGGGCAAGGAAGGAAGGAAGGAAGGAAGGAAGGAAGGAAGGAAGGAAGGAAGGGAGGGAGGGAGGGAGGGAGGGAGGGAGGGAGGGAGGGAGGGAGGGAAGGAAGGAAAGAAGGAAGGGAAGGAAGGAAGGAGGAAGGAAGGAAGGGAAGGAAGGAAGGAAGGAAGGAAGGAAGGAAGGGAAGGAAGGAAGGAAGGAAGGAAGGAAGGAAAGGAAGGAAGGAAGGAAGGAAGGAAGGAAGGAAGGAAGGAAGGAAGAAAGAAGGAAGGGAAGGAAGGAAGGAAGGAAGGAAGGAAGGAAGGGAAGGAAGGAAAGAAGGAAGGGAAGAAGGAAGGAAGGAAGGAAGGAAGGAAGGAAGGAAGGAAGGAAGGAAGGAAGGAAGGAAGGAAGGGAAGGAAGGAAAGAAGGAAGGGAAGGAAGGAAGGAAGGGAAGAAGGAAAGAAGGAAGGGAAGGAAGGAAGGAAGGGGCTGTGTTGAAGAGTCCTGGGCCTAAGACGGAGCCTTAGGGTACCCCACTCCTCACTTCCCGGCACCACCCAGTCTTTGTCCTTGTTAAACAAAAAAAACCCCAAACCCTTGACCATCTGACCATCTCTCCTTTTTGCCTTCGGCAGGATCCGGGGCTCAGCTTGGCCAGCATCGATGTGGAGGCGCCTTTAGTTTTCGCCTTGAACCTTTCGGATCTGGGCCGGAAGTCCCACATCCTGGAACTCCTTCCCGCCGTGGAGCCCCTGGAGAACCACATCCGCTACGTCATCGCGCAGGGCAACTGGGACGGCCACTTCCACATCCAACAGAAAGAGGGCCTGAGTTACCTGCACGTAGGCCGCAAGCCAGCCGCCCCCGGGACCTACCTGCTGGAGATCGTCAGCGTGCCCTTGTCCCGCGTTCGAGAACTGCCGAAACCGGAGGCCGGCAAGGAACTCGACTCCGTGGCTGGAGAGTTGGGCCAGGCCCTGAAGATGAAGCTGCAGCTTCGCCTCTTTTAACCCCCTCTCAGAGACCCCAGACCCAGGCTGTACCACGCTCCGTTTTGACCCTCCCCGCCCCGAAAGCAAGCCCTCCATTCTTCCAGCATCCGCTCTCCACCACCCGGGGGCTCGAAGGAGGGGGGCAGCCCTAAATCCAGACCACAGCCCTCCCGCTGACCCCAGCCCAGTCCCTGTTTCCCCCTCCCCTTTTTAAATCCCCCTGCTTCCACAGCTGACACGCACTACAGCGAATGGACCAGCACGACACGGTCGCCGTGGAAGGCTGGCATTCCGTGTCCGAACCAAAGGAAAAACATTTCTGTGCAAAAACGCCTCCCCTGCATTTCCTCTTCGGCGGGAGGCACCGCGTGCCTTAAACCCAGGACAGCCAGGCCCCTCTTTGTTGTCCTCTGGGGCAGAGGAGCCTGCCATCCTGTGCCCGGAGGCATCGGTGAGCGTGCCAATTGCAGCGTGCCTCTTTGCACCCGCAGCGTGTTACCAAAGAGGCTTCACTCGTGCGGTCGCCATTTTGACTTTTTTGACCCCCTTCCCTGCAGACGTCTGTGTTTCAACCCCACCCTCCCCCCCCCGGGAATCCCTGGCCAGCACAGCCAGCAGGGTTGATAAGGGACCTCTGCAGGGCGAGTCGTTGCCTGCTCTGTTTTACGCCCATCCGAAGTCTGGACTCCGCTAACCGAGCAGCAGAGATGTGCCTTGAACATTGAAGTGGAACAGTCGTCTCTTCGAATTCCAAAGGAACAAATGCTCTTATTGAAAAGGGGAGGGGGGATACCTTTGCTTGGAGTTGCGGGGGGGGTAGGGGGAGGCAAGCAGCCCGGGATGGGAATAGGTCTGCTACGCTGGCAAAAATACTTGAAAAACCTAACCCTGGTTTCCAGCTCCATTTTAGCCCTGCCAAGTTTTAGCCAGCATTCCCTTAGCTTTTGCCTTTCTTCGGTTTGTTCAGGGGAACCCAAGCGCTTCCTTTTCTCTGTCAATCCACCCCCAAGTGAGGTCCCACTCCATTTCCCCTAGAAGGCAGGTCAACGATCTCGCTCTGGAGGAAGACGGAATAACAGTCGGAAGGGACAGAGGGACCTTGGAGGTCTTCTAGTCCAACCCCCTGCTTAGGCAGGAAACCCCACACCACTTCAGACAAATGGCTGTCCAACATCTTCTTAAAAACTTCCAGTGTTGGAAGTTCACAACTTCTGGAGGCAAGTTGTTCCACTGATTAATTGTCCTCACTGTCAGGAAATTTCTCCTTAGTTCTAGGTTGCTTCTCTCCTTGATCAGTTTCCATCCGTTGCTTCTTGTCCTGCCCTCTGGTGCTTTGGAGAATAGCTTGACTCCCTCTTCTTTGGGGCAACTCCTGAGATATTGGAAGACTGCTCTCATGTCTCCCCTGGTCCTTCTCTTCATTAAACTAGACATGCCCAGTTCCTGCAACCGTTCTTCATATGTTTTAGCCTCTAGTCCCCTATAATCCTCTTGGTTGCTCTTCTCTGCACTCTTTCTAGAGTCTCCACATCTTTTTGACATCGTGGCGACCAAAACTGGATGCAGGATTCCAAGTGTGGCCTTATTACCAAGGCCTTATAAAGTGGTATTAACACTTCGTGTGATCTTGATTCTATCCCTCTGTTGATGCAGCCCAGAACTGTGTTGGCTTTTTTGGCAGCTGCTGCACACGGCTGGCTCCTATCTCAATGGTTGTCCACTAGGACTGCAAGATCCCTCTCACAGTTACTTCTATTGAGCAAGGTACCACTTGTACTGTACCTGTGCATTTTGTTTTTCTTGCCTAAATGTAGAACCTTGCTTTTTTCACTGTTGAATTTCATTTTGTTAGATAGCGCCCAATGTTCAAGTCTGTCCAGATCCTTCTGTATCTTGAGCCTCTCTTCCGGAGTTTTGGCTATTCCTGCCAGCTTGGTGTCATCTGCAAATTTGATGAGTTCCCCATCTATCCCCTCGTCCAAGTCATTGATGAAGATGTTGACCTTAGAGGTCATCTAATCCATCCCTCCCTGCTCGAGCAGAAGTCTCTAAACCATTTCAGACAAAGGGTTGTCCAGTCTCTTCTTAAAAATCTCCAGTGATGGAGCAGCCACAACTTCTGGTGGCAAGTTGTTCCACTGATTAATTGTTTTGACTGTCAGGAAATTTCTCCTTAGTTCTAAGTTGCTTCTCTCCTTGATTAGTTTCCATCCGTTGCTTCTTGTCCTGCCTTCAGGGGCTTTGGAGAATAGCTTGACTCCCTCTTCTTTGGGGCAGCCCCTGAGATATTGGAAGACTGCTATCCTGTCTCCCCTGGTCCTTCTCTTCATTAAACTAGACATACCCAGTTCCTGCAACCGTTCCCCAGACAAGTCACTTGGAAACTGGGTTCACAAGACACCGAAAATCAGAATCAGAATCAGAATAGAATTAGAAGGGACCTCGGAGGTCTTCTAGTCCAGCCCCCTGCTCAATACCATTTCAGACAGATGGCTGTCCAGTCTCTTCTTAATAACCTCCAGTTATTATGGAGCAGCCGCAACTTCTGGTGGCAAGCAGTTCCGCTGGTGAATTGTCCTCACTGTTAGGAAGTTTCTCCTGAATTCCAGGTTGCTTCTCTCCTTGATTAGTTTCCATCCGTTGCTTCTTGTCCTGCCTTCTGGGGCTTTGGGGAAAAAAATATGGTTTGTTTTTTTTGCCTACCTGTTGTGTGAACTCGGGCAACCCTGGCACACTCTCCTGTGTGTGAAGCCTCGTTGTGATGCAGAAGAAACACAAGCCGGGAAGCAAACCAGCTGAGTCACAAAGAGCACAATGGAAATTTTGCCCGCATCCACCAAGCTGCCCACTCACCATTCTGGCGTGGGAATTTTCCTCCCAGCCTCCCTCAGCAGCAGCAGCCCCGGAGCAAAAATGGGCTCTGTAGTCCGGCTGCATCACCAGAGGCATCCCAAACCGGAAACACAGGTAGTCCTCGACTTACGGCTGTTCATTTAGTGACCGTTCCAAGTTAGCACCGGCCCTGTAAAAAAGTGGAAAAGCTGAAAAACCTACTGCCAATTTTCCCACTTATGACCGTTGCAGCATCCCTATGGCCACGTGATCAAAATTGGCGACTGACTCATATTTATGACGGTGGCAGGGTCCCAGGGTCACGTGACTCCCCTTTTGCGACAGTCGGAACACCTGCTTAATGACAGCAACAAGAAAGGCCATAAAGCGGGGCAAGACTACCTTAACCAACGTCTCACTTAGCAGCAGAAATTTTGTGGCTCCAATGTGGTCATAAGTCGAGGAGTTGCTGCATCTTTGCATCGCTTTTGCCGGGTGGGGGGGAAAAAAGGACATTTCTGTTTTCCAGAGAAATGGAGTGGAAATGCAGCCATCATTTTAATAGAGATAAAATATGAAACCCCCCCGCCAAATAATCTCCTCCCCAGGAAAAGAGGGGTGTGAATTGGTAAACAACCACAAACAAACCAGGATTAAACCCATTCCCAACGGAGGCACTTCATTTTCCAACCTTTGTTCCGACTCGTTTAGTGACTGTTGAAATTTACGACGGCCCTGAAAAAAAAGTGACTTAACGGCCGATTTTCACACTTAACAACTCCTGCGGCTTCCCTCGGGGGCAGCCTCCTGGCGTGCCCACTCAACGGGGAAGCCAGATTCACTTAGCAGCCGTCTTGCTAAGTTAACAACTGCGGCGATTCGCTTAACGACGATGACAAGAAAGGGCGTAAAAGGAGGCTTTTACTGTTTTACATAGTAGTGAAAATTGGAGGCTCACTTGCGAGCTCTAAGCGCGTCAGAAGCCGAACTCGGAAAGTTGCAAATAGTAACTGCAGGGATGCGGCAGTGGTTGTAAAGTGTGAAAAACAGACATGAATCCCTTTTTTGGGGGTCGACGTAACTTCTAACAGTCGTTCAGTGGGGGACCCCTTGAGTTCCCCAGTGCTTTAGGAGGGTATCCTAAAGGCCACAAAAGGAGAGGATACGGGAAGCGAAGCGAGGGAGTCCAACTTTCTGGCTCCGTCGAAGAAAAGACGGACCCAAAGAAACAACAACCCTGCAAGGAAGGCTTTCTTAGACGGAGGGACCGAAGAGTGCAAATTGTCCAAAGAGCTCCAACAGTTGATGGCCCGCAGGACTGCCATCTTGCCTTCTTCTTCTTCTTTTTTTTTTTTTACCACGAATGCAGTGAGGAGGGGGCTGGGATGGATGACCTCACGAGGCCCTCTTCCCATTCTCGGTGAAGGCTATGCCTTTTTTTAACGTTTGGGTGCAGCGTTCCCGTCTCATGCCAAATATGACTTAGGTCTACCCTCCTTTGGGGAACGGTCCTCGGCCCACTTCCCACCCCCCACAAATCTCAGGCCGTTTTTATTGGGGGTGGGATGGGAGTTCTATGAAGATGGCTAGCCATCCTTCTTCCTCCCCCCCTCCAAATCTCCAAGGGGGAGGGGATGGATGGGCCTGGGAGTCTGAAAACATGAAGCATCTCCTGTCCCGGCTGATCCTCATTGGGTGGGAGGGGGAGAGCAGAGGAAGCCCCCTCCCCATGTCCTTGGCCGGCTTAGATTTCTCTTCTCACCCGCTGGTCCTTTCTCTTGTATTAATAGCGGCAGCGACGATAATGATGATTAACCAAGTAGCCAAGATAACGGGTGTGTCCCACGAGTTTCCGCAAGGGGGGGCGCCCTCCGTCCAGCATTCCTCGTGGGGTCCATTTGTGGGGAGGGTCGGCCGCAGACGGGACCGAGAACCGGGCACCTGGTGACTTTTGGCCCCTTTTTCTATCACGAGCGACAATAAAGTTATTTTGGATTAAATCTGGCGGAGTTTCGTGTGGTTTATCGGAGGCTGGCTTCAAACAACACCCACAGGTCCATTTAAGGACACACTTGTGCACAGGGAGTCCTCGACTTATCAACAGCCCATCGAGGGACCGTTCAAAGTTACGACGTCCCTGAAAAAAGAGCGACGTACGACTGTCATTTTAACGGCCGTCGCTGCAAATTGTGTGTCACGCAATCTCTCCCCCCTTGGGCGACCTTCCGACGAGGAAAGTGAGTGGGGAAGCCAGATTCACTTTCGCAAGCAGGTTTTCACTTAACGACGTTGGCAAGAAGGGTCGTCACATGGGGCAAAACCCGTTGGAGAAAAGGTTTCACTTAGCGACGCAAATTTCAGGCTCCGTTGCGGTCGTACGTTGAGGGTCGCCTGTGCTTGCGTTGCGCTCCCAGTGATGGCAATTTAGGACCACGAGTGAGATCGGAACGTCCGTCATTAAGCAAAATGCTTATCTTACTTCATAACCACCTCGTTTAGCAATGGACGTTAAGCGAGCCACATCACACTTTATGACTTTTTTTTCCTTGGCCATGGTTGTTAAGCAAATCACGGGTTTCGTTAAGCCAATCTGGCTTCCCCCATTTGGAAGCTGGCTGCGAAAGTGACGCTAATCCCTATGACCGCCGGTCGTAAATGCGAGAATCGATTGCAAGTCGCTTTTTTTTACGGCCATTGGGGGTTGCAAGTCGAGAACTGCCTGTCGCCTTGCTGCTCCCCCCAGCAAAACATTGATTTACTTAGCAACCATGGCATTCGCTTAATGACGGGTGGTTCCCTTAGTGACCCCTGCAAGATAGATTGTGAAATCAGGTGGGACTGAAAGACCTGTTTTACGACTGTCGTAGTTTGTGAGCATGACGGGCAGGCTCCACTACGGTTGTAATTCGAGGACTACCAGAGCTGTAGCAGAGCAACCGGGCAGACGGTGAGGATGAAAGGATGGGCCAAAGAGAAACATTTCCCAAAGTCTACAATTTTGAGAGAAACCTGCCCTTTAGAATAGCAGAAGAGTTGGAAGGGGCCCTAGAGGTCATCTAGTCCAACCCCGTCCCCAGCCACCAGCCCAAGCAGGAGACCCTGCCTACACCATTTCACCCTACACCCTTAAAAGCCACCAGGTCACTGGATACAAGAAGGGCAGCAATTAAACTTCATAATAATAATCTTTTAATGACCCCATAATCCATTGCGGGGGGGTGGAGTCTGGGCAACTGAATGGAACTAGCAGAGTGTTTTAATGGCCGGACACCTTTCCTGTCGCCAATGTGGAGTTTTTTTTCAGCAGATATATTCTCATCGTGCCCAGTGAGAGAGAAATACCTGCCTCTGCCTAGGATCGAACTCACCGCCTCCTGATTATTTATTTTATTTATTTTATTAGTCATATTTCTATGCCGCTCACTCTCCGAGGACTCTTATTATGAGGAGAGAGCTCCCCCTGTAGGCCAACCGCACTGTTCAAACAATAGTAAATTAATAATAATAATAACAAAACAACAATATTTATGTTTTTATGTACCTGCAAGGGCTTCCAAACGTCTGAATAATAAGTTTCTGTGTATTATGTGTGATAACCGGGTCATTTCCCCCACCCGTCCCCAAGGACCCCAACCAGGGCTGGGATACAGAAATTTTAGCAACCGGGTCGCTGCACGGTTGCTGCGTGGGCGTGGCCATGGTGGGCGTGGCCTACTCAGCCTCCTCTACCACCGGGGGGCGCGGAGGCGTTTTTGCCCTCCCCAGACTCCAGAGGCTTTCCTCGAGCCTCCGGGAGGGTGAAAACAGGCCCGTTTTTCAGACTTCCGTAATTTCTGGTAGGCCCGTTTTTTCGCCCTCCCCGAGCCTCCGCACGGGCCCTGCGCTTACCTGGCATCCAAAACGGGCTGCATGGAGACTCCTGGGCGGGGTGGGCGGGGCCAGTCAGTCCTTGCAACAACCGGTTCGTGAATCAGATTAAAATTAACATCCGATTCATCCGAACCGGCTGAATCCCAGCTGACGAAAAGGACTGACCAGCATCTGATATGGTGCCATTTCCGGACAACAAGAGGCAGAGACCCATCTTAGCAACCAAAGGCAGCTTTATTTTGGGGACGCACCCCGGAGGGTGGGACGCTCTTACAGACAGGATGACACAAACGAGACCCCCACCCCCACTCTAAGCCCGGTGGCTCAGCCCGGTCTCTTCCCCCAAAGTCCAGGCTATTGTTCCAGCTCATTTCTAAAGGGAGGGTGTCTGCGGAACTCCCTGCCACAAGCTGCCAACCGTTCAGGGCGGGTATGCCTTATTTCTTCTCCTCCCCTCCCCCAAACTGACCGGCATGGCCTCCTCCCTCTGCCCCCCCCTGATCTCCCAAGATGGCGTCCAGCCTCCGCAGGCCCTGCGCTGTAGGACAACCGCAAGGAGCCCAGTTCTAGCATCAAGGCTCCAGTCCTCAAGACCTTCGGAAGGTAATTTTATAGTAGCGCGGCCTCCCCGACTTGGCTGGACTGCGCTGTCGACTCCGACGGCTTCATCGCGGCGCTCTCTGGAGGAGCTGGACTACAACTCCCATCCTCCACAGGCACCTGGACGGCAGCTCCCCGAGGGTTCAAGGCTTGGTTGTGTTTTTTGCAGAGTTTTAGATGTTGGGGGGGGGAGGGGGCAGGAAATTGGGTGGGTGGGTGGCAGGAGAGGGTGGGGCCACACCAATTCATCTTTGGAAAAAGGCCACTAGCTGGGTTGACCCCCTCCTCCTGAACCCCATTATTTGGGGCGGGGGAGAGGAAGGGGCTTATGGTGGAACAGATGCTCCAGAATCCATCCATCCCCAGTGCCAAAAAATGGACCTCCCTTGGTTAAAACATTATTTCCCAATCTTGGTGCCATTTTAAGATGGCTGGACTTCAACTCCCAGAATTCCCCAGCCAGCGTGGCTGGCTGGGGAATTCTGGGAGTTGAAGTCCAGCCATCTTAAAATGGCCGAGGTTGACAATTATTGCCTTAACACCACTAAAGCTGCTTTTTAATCCCCACTTTTGGTCCCCGAAAGCGTCAATCCCTCGATTAAATTCTCTTTCTCGTCATTATTACTCCTAATCCACCTAATTAATGAATCGTTAACGGGCCCCAGAGCGCCTGCCAGGATAATCCCAGCTCCGTTTCTTATCGGAACGACGCAGAGACTCTCGAGAGATCACACCTAGTCATCACACACACGTATACAAATGCACCCACACACACACACACACAATGCGCACACCGAACACCGACCCACAGAGAACCGTTCAACGCAAAAAAAAAAAAATTGCTTGCAAAAAAGAAAAAAGAAAAAAAGGAAGGGAGCGTTTTGGTTCGGACGGTAAACAAACACACACCATCATCCTGGGCCCTCCACGGCTGGGAATCATGGGGCACGTTAGGCCACCGAATGGCTGCCCTCCCCGGCCCCCCCAACCCTCTCTCCCAGATCGAGAAGGCCGTTTTTAAAACCAGGCATCCCGTCTTCGCCTGCTGGCATTTTCAGTCAGGAACGTTCCCAACAGCCCTGCAAGGTAGGCCAGCTGGCCGGAAAAAAGGGTCTTTTTAAGAGGCCGTGTGGCGATTTAAGGCCTCCGTGTGAATTTGCAGATGAGGTGAGGGGTTTTCTTTTGGCCACTGGGTGAAAAAAAAAAATCTTTTTTTTTTAACTAGCCAGCGTAAGGCTTAGGGGCGCTCCCAAGCGTGCAAAATTTGCCCGCCACTTGGGCCTCCTGGATTTTTTATGGGAGGGGGAGCTGGCAGAGGGCAAATTCCTGGATTTTTGCCCCCGCGAACAAGGTCCCCGTTTGCAAAGGCTCCCCGAGAGGCCTGCAAACCCCATCTCCCCTTTTCCATCTGGCCCCCACCCACCCCCATCTCTACGACACAAAGAAACACCGAAAAGCCACAGCAAAGATTGGGGGGAATCCCGCGCCGTCCCCCCCAAAACAGACACCTCACAGAGAAACACAGCGGGGCAGACGGCCCCAAACTCGGCCCCTTTCCTTGGCAGGAGCAGCAGCAGCTCAAGGGGAAGGGCCCCTGCCCAGGGCCCCGGGGCCCCAGCTAAACCAGAGCATAGTCGAATTGGCCGCGCTCCAGACCCTCCTTGTGGTCAGTCCAGGACGAGGCCGGCATGCGGCTGTAAGGGTCCAGCAAGATCCGGAAGCATCGCACCATGAGCATCACGAGGAAGATGAGGAGAAAAATGACGAAGGCAAAGACGGTTTTCTGCTCTGCGTCCATGCCCGGGGCCCCGGGAACGGACTCCGCCTGCCTGGGAGACAGCACTTCATAATCCAGGGTTGAGGCGTCATCCATCACGGCAGTGCCAGGAACCCACCACCGGGAGGGGTGGGGGGTGCAGAGAGAAGGCGTAGGAGATGGTGGATCCTGGCCGGTTAAGCAGCCCCCATCTTCCAGCGGGGGGGGGTGGGAGCACCCAGGAAAGCCTCCCGCGGCTGAACGAGCTAGGCCACGGCGGGCAGCCGGAGTGGGCTGGTGGGGCTACAGCTGTGGGCTTTGGGTACCTGGAAAAGAAGCAGAGGGGTGAGACGTTCCCCCCCCCCCCCGTTTGACCTCTGATGAGCAGAGCGGATGCCAAGGGGGGAACTCTGCAGGGTTAGGGTCTGCGGCTGCTCAGCCAGCTGCACAATTGTTGGAAAGAGAGGGAGCCCCACACTTCCCTCTTTATGAAGATCTCTCTCTCTCTCTCTCTCTCTCTACTATCTATCTATCTATCTATCTATCTATCTATCTATCTATATCTATCTATCTATCTATCTATCTACCCATCTACCTACCTACTTATCTAATTTACCTTATCTATCATCTATTTATCTCTGTCATCTATCATCCATCTCTCTTTCTCTCTCTATTTATCTATCTATCCATCCATCCATCTATCTATCTACCTATCTATCTATCTATCTATCTATCCATCTACCTACCTACCTACCTACTTATCTAATTTACCTTATCTATCATCTATTTATCTCTGTCATCTATCATCCTTCTCTCTCTCTCTCTCTATCTATCTATCCATCCATCCATCCATCCATCCATCCATCTATCTATCTATCTATCTATCTATCCATCTACCTACCTACCTACCTATCTAATTTACCTTATCTATCATCTATTTATCTCTGTCATCTATCATCCATCTCTCTCTCTATCTATCCATCCATCTATCTATCTATCTATCTATCCATCTACCTACCTACCTACTTATCTAATTTACCTTATCTATCATCTATTTATCTCTGTCATCTATCATCCATCTCTCTCTCTCTCTCTCTCTCTATCCATCCATCCATCCATCCATCCATCCATCCATCCATCCATCCATCTATCCATCTACCTGCCTACCTACCTACTTATCTAATTTACCTTATCTATCATCTATTTATCTCTGTCATCTATCATCCATCTCTCTTTCTCTCTCTATTTATCTATCTATCTATCCATCCATCCATCTATCTATCTACCTATCTTCTATCTATCTATCCATCTACCTGCCTACCTACCTACTTATCTAATTTACTTTATCTATCATCTATTTATCTCTGTCATCTATCATCCATCTCTCTCTCTATCTATCTATCCATCCATCTATCTATCTATCTATCTATCTATCTATCTATCTATCTATCTATCCATCCATCTACCTACCTACCTACTTATCTAATTTACCTTATCTATCATCTATTTATCTCTGTCATCTATCATCCATCTCTCTCTCTCTATCTATCCATCCATCCATCCATCCATCTATCTATCCATCTACCTACCTACCTACTTATCTAATTTACCTTATCTATCATCTATTTATGTCATCTATCATCCATCTCTATCTATCTATCTATTTATCTATCTATCTATCTATCTATCTATCTATCTATCTATCTATCATTTAGTTACCTACCTACCTACCTCTATCTCTGTATATCTCTGTCTATCTATTGACTATCACTTTTTCTCTCGCTCTGTCTATCATCTACCTACCTCTATCCATCATGTCTCTCTATATCTACCTACCTACCTATCTCTATCTATCCATCGCTCCATCGCTCTCTCTTTCTCCCTCTTTCGTCTCTCTCTCTTTCCGACTTCTGACACTGGGGAAGACAGCAGGAAACGTCACAAGCCAGTTTGTACGATCTCTTTCTTCACGACTCCGGTGATTCCTTTAACGACCACAGCGTGTGCAAGGACTGCTTGCAAGTCACTTTTTTCAATGACTTTTAATGTGGTCATTAAGTGAACCCATTGTTCGCCATATAGGAGGTGTTTTTTTGGGGGGGGCAGAAACCAGAAGTAAACCAGCAAACCCAAAACCGTTTCCAGCGAAAACATTGTCAGTTTGCATCGTGAAGTTTGCATGAAGGTCATAAGCGCCTTTTAGGGGGTCCACTGCAACTTTGAAGGGCTGCCAAGTCAGCCAGCACTGCATGAATTGGGGGAGGGGTGTCTGCAACTACAGTTCCGGCCCCTCCCTACAATTTGATTACACCTTCTGATGTGTAGCTAGGCTCCTGTCAGCACTTCAACCTGCATTTACTCTAGTGCTGACATAAGAAGGAGAAGAGGGGGCAGCTGGCAAGAGGACGCTTGACTTCTCACCTACTTATTTTCCCTGAAGATAATATCCCCTAGGAGATGAGATGGGAGGGGGGACATTCCTGGGAGCTGAAGTAGTAGATATGGGGAGAGTGATTCGGAAGAGGGCCAATGAGACGCAGAGAATTGGGGAAAGGAAAAGGAAGGTTTGGGGTCAGGAAGTCAGAGTTGGCTACGCCACAATTGGGGACAGGTTGTCGTGCTTAATAAAATGAAAGATTCCTTCAAAGACTATGTGTTTGGAAATGCAATTTATTTTAATTGAGACGACATCAAAACTTGACAGCTCCCCTCCCACAGAGCCAGATAAGAGGAGGGGATCCAGCGAGCATCGCCAGATGGGGCAAATAGCGGCAACGCTTGGAGGGCACCCCCTCCCCTCTGTCCAGCTGCAGTCCCAACCCGGGGGAGTGTCTTCCTACCTGCTGCCTGCTCTCCAAGGCCACCTGCATCTCCGGGAGCCGGAGGAGAAGAGACCCACGTCACACAGCTGAGGGCCTTGCAGCCTCCCCACATCAGGCTGTGGCTGTGAGAGAAAGAGAGGGTGGGGGGAACGGCCTCAATGACACGCCCGCTTCGTCAGAGACCCCTCCTCACTCCACCGAAGGGTCAACTCAACGCCCTGCCGCCAACATTTCTCAGCCCCACCAGAAGACTCTGCAGGAGGGGGGCGAAGGGACCCCCGGGGCTCTGGCATTTTCCTTGCTCAGAAAGACCAACCTCCTGTTTCGCAGGGGGCTCCCGAGTGGCAGGGCCTTTGGGGGGAGGGTCTCCTGCCCCCCCCCAAATTGGGAGTGGATACCGAACCTGTGGAAACTCAGGAGCCCTGGATGGACCTGCCCTCCCGCCCCTTTCAAATCTTGTCCAAAATGGCCCAGGGTCTCTGGCTTGAGCAGGGGTTGGACTAGAAGACCTCCGAGGTCCCTTCCAACTCTCTTATCATTCGGCCACCCCCGTGGGTGTCCGCCATTCCATGTCTGGTGGGAATGAACTGCTGGGGGGGGGGGAGGTTCTTGCTCTCGATGATGCATTTCGGAAAATCGATTGAGAGGCTGCCGGACTCCCAGATGGCTTAGATTGAAAGAAAGACCATAAAAAGAAAACAAGGAGAAAATCCCCAGCGTCACCAACCGGACTCTGCCAACAGCCAAGAGCTGGCACAGGAGCCAGCCTCTTCAGCCGCTGTGGCTTTGTCTGGTTGCTTCCTTCAAGGCCTGGGCTCTGGGGCTTGGCTGGCAGGGAAGGGGACCCTCCCCCCGACAGTCTCTTTCACTCACAGGGATTGACAGGGAGGGAGGGAGGGAGGGAGGGAGGGAGGAAAAGGGAGGGAGGGAGGGAGAAAGGAAGGAAGGAAAGAAGGAAAGAAAAGAGAGGGAGGAAGGAAAAGGAAAAGGAAGGAAGGAAGGAAAAGGGAGGGAGGGAGGAAGGAAGGAAGGAAAGCAGTACGTGGAAGGAGGGAGGGAGGGAGGGGAGAAAGGAAGGAAAGCAGTACATGGAAGGGAGGGAGGGAGGAAGGAAGGAAGGAAAAGGGAGACAGGGAGGGGAAAAAAAAGGGAGGGAGGGAGGGAAGGAAAGCAGTACATGGAAGGAGGAAGGAAGGAAAGAAGGAGGGAGGGAGGAAGGAAGGAAAGAAAAGGAAGGAAGGAAAAGGGAGGGAGGGAGGGAAGGAAGGAAGGAAAGCAGTACGTGGAAGGAGGGAGGGAGGGAGGGGAGGAAGGAAGGAAAGCAGTACATGGAAGGAGGGAGGGAGGAAGGAAGGAAAAGGGAGACAGGGAGGGAAAAAAAGGGAGGGAGGGAAGGAAGGAAAGCAATACATGGAAGGAGGAAGGGAGGAAGGAAGGAAAGAAGGAGGGAGGGAGGGAGGAAAGAAAAGGAAGGAAGGAAAAGGGAGGTAGGGAAGGAAGGAAAGCAGTACATGGAAGGAGGGAGGGAGGGAGGGAAGGAAGGAAGGAAAGCAATACGTGGAAGGAGGGAGGGAGGGGGGGGAGGAAGGAAGGAAAGCAGTACATGGAAGGGAGGGAGGGAGGAAGGAAGGAAGGAAAAGGGAGACGGAGGGAAAAAAAGGGAGGGAGGGAAGGGAGGAAAGTAGTACATGGAAGGAGGGAGGGAGGAAGGAAGGAAAGAAAGAAGGAGCGAGGGAGGGAGGAAGGAAGGAAAAAAAGGGAGGGAGGGAGGGAGGGAGGGAGGAAGGAAATGGGAGGGAGGGAGGGAGGAGAAGGAGGAGGAAAAGGAGAGGAAAGAAGGAAGAGGAGAATTCCCTGCCACAAGGTGCCAATCACTCAGGGTGGGGATGCCCGTTTTTAAGAAGCGATTGGACGACCGTTGGTCTGGAAGGGTACATAGGGCTTCCTGCCTGAGCAGGGGGTTGGACTAGAAGACCTCCAAGCTCCCTTCCAGCTCTGTTATTATCTATCTGATCTAAGCCGCAGCCGCAGATCTTGCCAGGACCCGGCCTCAATCAAACCAGGGCTGCGTCAGAGCCTGGCAGCCATTGCACGAAGTAGGCTGGGGTGGGGGGAGACGAGGAGCGTGTTGATCAAAGCCAAAGGCCGAGGGGCAGCTCAGGATATCAATCCAGCTCAGCATCCTGATGCCAGCAGCCGTGCCAGCGGACAGACAGACGGACGGACGGACGGGCAGAGAAACTGGCCAGGCCAAAAGCAGCTTTCAAAAGATTGGGTCCTTTGCTTTTAAGGACGGAAGGTGGGGGAAGTTGCGGGGGGTCCTTCGCCACGCCAAGGGCCAGCCCCAGTGTGGGGAGGGGAGGTGTCTTCCCTTTGAATATCTGCTGGGGTGTCGAGCCAGGGAGCCAAGCCCTCCATCCACCCACTCACCCTGGGCGACAAAAGGAAGGAGACCCCTCCAGTCTCGGCTCAACCAGTGTCCAGAATGGGGACGCTAAGCGATGGGATTGTGGAGTGACTCACGGGGGGTCTCCAGTGGGGAAGACCCACGATCTGGCCTCCCTCACTGACTTCACTTGTCAGAAGCCCCCACCCCCCCACCCCACCCTGAAGGATGCAAATGGGGATCACAAGAGCCCGGGACCCTGCCGCCGTTCTAATATTTTTTTACATTTATCTGTCTGTCTGTCTCGGCCTTACATGTAGACACACAGATAGATATGTACGTATGTGTGTTTGTGTGTTTAGTTTAGTTTAGTTTAGTTTAGTTGATTTGTATACTGCCCTACTCCCGAAGGACTCAGGGCGGTGAACAGCCAACAATAAAATACATAAATACACAAAATTTAAAAACCCGATAAAATCAAATTAAATTATTTGGCCCAGACAAATTAAAATACCCCAATAATTTAAAAACAGATTAAAATTTACGTATTTAAAAAGGGAAGAGATCAGGCCAAGCCCGATCTTGTGTGTGTGTGTGACAGAGAGACAGTGATAGACAGACAGACAACAGATGAGAGAGAGGATAGGTAGACGATAGACAGACGCGGATGGATGGATGGATGGAGAGATGGATAGACAGATAGATATACCCGTGTTTCCCCGAAAATAAGACCCTGTCTTATATTTTTTTGAACCCCGAAATAAACACCTGGCTTTATTTGTGAGGAGGTCTTATTATTTTGGGGCGCGTGGAGGAAGCCAGAGGAAATGGCGGGGACCGGCTGCACGTGTGTTTAAATATTTTTGGGGAGGCTTATTTTCAGGGTGGGCTTATTTTAGTGCATGCGCTCAAAAGACCTTATTTTGGGGGGAAACAGGGTAGATAAATAGAAATAGGTAGGTAGATGACAGATAGATAAATGAGAGAGAGAGAGAAGATAGATAGAGATGGATACGGATGGATGGATGGAGAGACGGAGAGATGGACAGATAGAGAGATATAGATATGGAAGGATGGATGGATGGATGGATGGATGGATGGATGGATGGATGGATGGAAGGATGGATAGACAGACAGACAGAGAGACAACAGACAGGCCAATTGCCAAGGGTTTGATTGTAGGGATGCAAGGACCAGTCGTGAGTCTGACTTTTTGCAGCGCATCGTCACTTCAAACGGTAGTTAAGTGAAGGGCTACCTCTACAAGCCAGAATGGCTCCTCTCTCCCAGCTGAAGGCTGACTTCCCGGGTCTCCAATGGACCTCAGCAGAGTCCGGCCTTCCTGGAGCAGCCAAGGCATCTCCCCGACCGATGGCTGCCAGGATTTCCTCGCTGGAAATCCTGGCCCTTCCATTCCCACAATCCAGGGGTGAAATCCAGCAGGTTCTGATAGGTTCTGGAGAACCCGTAGCGGAAATTTTGAGCAGTTCGGAGAACCGGCAAATGCCACCTCTGGCTGGCCCCAGAGCGGGGTGGGAATGGAGATTTTGCAGTATCCTTCCCCCAGGAGTGGGGAGGGAATGGGGATTTTGCAGTATCCTTCCTCTGCCACGCCCACCAAGCCACACCACGCCCACAGAACCGGTAGTAAAAAAAATTGGATTTCACACCACTGCCACAACCCCCTCCCCCAGACCGTCTCAGCCGTGTGCCCAAGGAGGTCTTTGAGCCGCCTTTCCAAGATGGGGAACGGCTTCTCTCGCCAAGAAGCGCTTCCTCCGCCGAGCCCCAGTTCAAATCCTCCCCAATTCGGCTTTGACCAATTTTTGTCACACTGGCCTGCTGAACCCCAGAATAGAATAAGGAATAGAATAGAATAGAATAGAATAGAATAGAATAGAATAGAATAGAATAGAATAGAATAGAATGAGGAATAGAGAATAGAATAGAATAGAATAGAATAGAGTAGAGTAGAGTAGAGTAGAGTAGAGTAGAGTAGAGTAGAGTAGAATAGAATAGAATAGAATAGAATAGAATGAGGAATAGAGAATAGAATAGAATAGAATAGAATAGAATAGAATAGAATAGAATAGAATAGAATAGAATAGAATAAGAGAGTTGGAAGGGACCTTGGAGGTCTTCTAGTCCAACCCGCTGCTTAGGCAGGGAACCCTGTCCCATTTCAAATCAGAAGAGAAGAAAAACATGGTCTTTAGGCGACGTGGATTTCAACTCCCAAAAACGGGGAATTTCCTGCTTCTTTCTGCTTCTTAGCCAGCCCTCTCGGCAACCCGCGTCTCGCCAGAAGACCCGGATTCCCACAACCGGCTACCTTTTTCGGGGGCTCCGTTTGCCAGCAAAAGACGCACGACTGACGGCTCAGATGCAACTTGTGCGCCCCCCCTCCCCCCACCCCCCGAGAGAGACGTTGGCTGGGAATCCCGGGAGCTCATCCCGGCTTTTGAGTGGGGGGGTCATGAATAATAGAATAAGAATAGGATCTCTCAGTGTCCCCTCCCTCCTGGTAAGACCATGCCCTGGTGACCTTGAATTAAAAAGAATAGCAGAGTTGGGAGAGATCTCAGAGGTCTTCTAGTCCACCCCCCTGTTCAAGTAAGAGAGTCCATCATTCCAGACAAATGGCTGTCCAGCCTCTTCTTTAAAAGCTCCAGTGATGGAATCACCCACGATTTCTGGTGGCAAGTTGTTCCCCTGGCTGATTGTCCTCACTG